GGCATTGAGCCCCATCAGACAGAAATCGCAGACACTGCAATGGGCAGACTGAGAATAACCTGTGACATATATAAATTATGGAGTAGGTTAGGATGCACAGTGGTGGGGTGACTTGGGAGGGAGACAGAGCAAAATCTGGGGGGTCTTAGGGGGAAGGGTTGCTGATTTTTATCATCAGCCTATTTCCAGACCATAGATACTTCCAGCACGGATGACCTCCAGTTTGGGGGGTGGGGTGGGGGGTTGTGGAGTCACAGAGCAGGAAATTGGGGGACATGTGCAGGGTCACACCATCACCTAGCATTTCCACCGTGTAAAGGCAGGAGGGACAAACCACCTGGAGGGTATGGTTAATGGCAATGTCTATTAATGAGGAGGGGGTGCGGGTTCTACATTGATGACCTTTCTTTTGTCAACTTTTAGGTACCTTTAAGTTCTTTTTTAATACTGGCTGAGTTTAACATCTAGTTGTCAAAAAATCCTGAAAATGTAACAATCAGCTCTTGCCAGCCTGTATGCGGGGGCTGGAGCCCAGCCTGGAGGGAAGCCTGAGGTCCTCATCCACTGCTGGGAGCAGGGGCCAGCGAACTCAGAAGTTGCTGTGGACATGTCTTTGCTCTAGGGCAGAGCACAGCTCAGGGAGCTCCAGGACCTGGGGTCCCATGCCCAGATTATGTTCTCTGTCTTCTCTCTGGAGGCTAGATGAGTCCAAGGTCGGTTTTCCCACTTCCTGGATCCCCCCCCCCCAAATTCCTTTGTTGTCTTGCCCTGTTGGTTACCCTCAATCTCAGACTTCAGCCCTTCCTTCCTTGGCCTCTGGTTTTCCCCTAAGAGCGGGTGAGTTAGGATGCATCCCCAACGTGGGTCAGAAAATCCAGAATTGTGGTGACTTAAAGAAGATTGAATCTGGAATGTGGCTGGACCACGAGCGCGCGTGGGACACTCAGTGAGAGAACCAATCACAAGAGGCCACGTGGTGTGTGATTCCATCATGTGAATGTCCAGAACAGGCACCTCCACAGACAGGAAGTGGGTTACGACGTCCTGAACACCTGCCACAACGTGGAGGGACCCTGAGGACACGGGGCTCAGTGAGAGCAGCACAGAAGGGCACACCCTGCAGGACCCCACTCCCAGGAGGGCCCCAGAGGAGTCCCGTCCACACAGACAGAGAGGAGAGGGTGGGAGTCAAGGCTGGGGTACGGGGTGGGGAGTCTGTGCTTCATGGGGACAGAGTCTCCCTTTGGGGAGATGGAAAGTTCTAGAAACTGAGGATGGGGGTGGTCCCATGACAGTGTGAGTGTGCTTCCTGCCGCTGAGCTGTGCAGTTAAAAATGGTCGAAAAGTTAATGTTATGTTATGTATATTTTGCTCCAATTTTTAAAAATAAAGAAAAGAAAACACAGAGGTATTTGGCTACAAGTATGCAGCCAGTGGGTGTTCTGATAACAGGGAAAATTACCTACATAAATCCCAGTGTATTTCCACACTATGGAATACTAGACTAGACTAAAAATACTGCGGGAAAATCTACGTTATTTGAATATCAGCTGTGTGGAGGCACAGATTTTTGTCTTGTTCACTGTCCTACCCCGGAAAGGCGTGGGCGCCTGACGAATGCCCACCAGCAGGAGGTGCCTACATAAAACGCGGGACCTGTTGAATGAATGTAAAACCTTCAAGCTCTAAGGCTAAGTGCAAAAAAGCAGGTAAGGTGACACCGCATTTTCTTGATCTCCCAAAAGACCACTTTTCCATCTTTTATTGTTTCAGGAATCAGGGAAAAAACCTAACTGTTTCACTTAAAGCCATGAGTTTGTTTAGCCTGGCATGGGGCGCTTTTGGGTTTTATGGGTGTTTTTTTTTTTGGTTTTGTTTTTCATTTCTTTTTTCTTTCTTTCTTTCTTTCTTTCTTTCTTTTTTTTTTTTTTTGGACAGACAGACACAGCAAGAGGAAGAGTGGGAGAGGGAGAAGCAGGCTTCCCCCTGAGCAGGGAGCCTGATGTGGGGCTGGATCCCAGGACCCTGAGATCATGACCTGAGCCGAAGGCAGAGGCTTAAGGACTGAGCCACCCCGGCGCCCCCAAGTTGTTGTTTTCAACAACTAATGGCAATTAAGAGTGAAGGAAATTCAGACTTGAGCACTGAACAGAGGAAAGAAATGTTTATAGGTCTGGGTATCTCCGTTGGCGGAGCATGCAACTCTTGATCTCAAGGTGATGAGTTTGATCCCCGTGTTAGGTGTAGATATTATCTAAATAAAACCTTAAAAAGAAAAAGACATATATGTTTGTAGATCAATCACCGTTTTGTTTCTGGCTAGGGGATGCGGTAAAGAAAGGGTTTTCACAGTTTTTCTCTCTCGTTGGCTTGTCTGCATCTCCTGACTTGTTTTTGCTTTTTGTTTTCTGGGAGATCTTTTTGGTTTTTGTTTTATTTTTTGTTTTTTTCTGTAGAGAATATATAGCATTTATGCAACAAGAAAAACTGAAGAAACTAAGTTCAGTCAATGGCATAAAAGATATCCCAGCTTTCTGGGACCTACGATGCTGTGACTAAGGGCACAGGTTCTGTCTGGAGCTGGAGGAGCTGGGTTCTAATCCCTGTCCCACCACTTGTGAACCCAGGGACATTCATAGCTGCTTTTGCCTCTAGCCCCCATATTTACACTTGTTCCCATCTCTAGAAGAAACTCACCCTACTGTGCCTGTGCAAGGCATTCTGTCCTCACCTCTCCCTCCTGGGAGCTTTGATATCTTTTCCCTCCTTTTTGTGCAACAACCCAGAAATTCCATTAACGGACCCTGAACCGCAGGATGCCATGTTGGAGAGTGCTGTGTGCTGAATGTTTGTGTCTCTTAAATCTGTATGTGAAGCCCTGACACCAATGGGATGGCTCCTGGAGGTGGGACCTTTGAGAGGCAGTCAGGGTTAGATGAGGTCACGAGGGTGGGGCCCCCATGGTGGGATTAGTGCCCTCATCAGGGAACAAAGAGACCAGAGCCCTCTCTCCTTCATAGGAGCACACAGTGAGAAGGCGGCATCCACAACCCAGCAAAAGAGCTCTCCCTGAACCCGGCCACACTGGCGCCCTGATCGCCAACTTCTAGCCAGCAAAACTGTGGGAAATAAATGTTTGTCGTTCTAGCCACTGGGGTGGTTAATTTTATGTGTCATCTTGGCTGGGCTACAACGAGATGCCAAGATCGCAGGTAATACACTCTTCTGGGCACGTCTCTGAGGGCGTCTCTGGAAGAGATGAGCATTGGACTCAGCAGACTGAGTGAACAAGATGCCCTCACCCATGAGGTGGGCCACATCTAATCTGTTGAGGGTCTGGATAGAATGAAAAGGTGGAGGGAGGGAGAATTCACTTTCCCTGCTGGAGCTGGGACATTTGTATCTCCCGCTCTCAGGTGTCAGAGCTCCTGGTTCTCGGGCTTTTGGCCTCAGACCAAATCACACCACTGTCTCTCCCGGGCCTCCAATTTGCAGATGCCAATCAGAGGGCTTCTTGGCCTCCATAATTTTTTGACCCAATTCCGTGTGTGTGTGTATGTGTGTGTGTGTGTGTGTGTGTGTACACGCGCACGCGTGTGTGTAGGACATATATCCTTGGGTTCTACTTCTCTAACACAGCCACCCTGTCTGTGGGATTTGTTATAGTAGCCTGAGCTGACTCAGAGCATTTCCCTAAGATTCCAGAAGAACATTATGGTGCCAGGGAGGGCATCCGGGGAGCACCAGGTCAGGGACTCATACAGGAAGCCTTGGAGTCTCAGCTGATACCTGAAGAAGGACCATTTGGTAGCCAAGGATATAAGGCGTGGAACAGTGTTTCAGGAAGGGGGAACAGCACCTGCAAAACTCTGGAGGTGTGAGAGAACACCGTAGTTTCCTTGAACCCTCCCGAGCATGCCAATATGCTTCGTCTTTTCCATTATTCTCAATAATCTTGGGGCAGGCAGCAGCAAAGTCAGGCGGGGGAGTGTTGGGTGAAAGGTCTGACTTGGGAGTGGGGTTCACAATTCCTGGATGTTGACCTGTGTGTGCCGTCACCCTGCTCCCCAGCCTCAGGAGGGCCCCACGAGGGGTCTGATGCTCTGTCGTCACCATTGGGAAATTCTTAATCAATTTGGGACAGTGGAAATTCTCAAAGCCCACAACCCCAGAGGTTTTACTCACAGGGATATTGGAGAACTCCTGGGTCAGATGACCAAGGGCTTAGGCAATCTAAAGCAAGTTCAGATTTTGTATTTAGGGTGTCGAGGGTTGAAGGAAAGAAAATGAAACGTTCGATTAAATCCATGAGTGAGTAAATAAATGTATGTGTGCATATGAATGACGGAGAAGTGAAGGAGCGCGAGCTCGGGAGATAGACCCTTAGAGCCACCTGTGCTCCCTGCACCCCTAATGTCCCGGCGCCGCCGGCTTTCCCGCCTCTCGCGAGCGCCCCCTGCCGACCAGAGGCTCGGCCACGCCAAACCCAGATCAGACCGGGCCTTCTGGCCGGCTTAGCCCTCCTTCTCGCTCCTGATTGGCTTCGAGTTGCTCGCGATGCGTTACGGGGAATGTAGTCTCTTGGCCCGCGTCTGCGCTTCCTGTGGCCCGGAGGCCTGAAGGTGTTACAGGAATTACGTAGCCCAACTTGCCCGGGTTCCAGAAGTCATCGTAATGGCATTACGCGACGGGAATTGTAGTCCACCTGTGGGCAGTCTCCGCCTCAGTTCTCCAGGTCGGAACAACAATTCCCACCATGCACCGTGGTCCCAGTTCGCCGGGGCAGGTGCGCGTCCTTCTAGGAGTGGTAGTCTTGGCCCTCTCCGTTCTTCTTCTGTCCTGCGGAGGAGGCCGGCCCCCAGGACTACATTTCCCTGCACACCCGCCCTCCCCCTCACGCCGCGCCGGGCCGCGGCAGCCATTTTGTTCCGCCAGACGGGCCCCTAAGATGGCGGTGGGGGGGACGGTGAAGGTTGCCGCCTGCCCCTCCGGTCGCTAGCCCGCGCTCTCCGCGTCCCCCGGCGGCCGGCCCATGGCCTGGCGGAAGCCCGGACCATGGACCTGCGCACCGCCGTGTACAACGCCGCCCGCGACGGCAAGCTGCAGCTGCTCCAGAAGCTGCTCAGCGGCCGGAGCCGGGAGGAGCTGGACGAGCTGACGGGCGAGGTGCCCGGCGGGGGGACGCCGCTGCTCATCGCCGCCCGCTACGGCCACCTGGACGTGGTCGAGTACCTGGTGGACCGGTGCGGCGCGAGCGTGGAGGCGGGCGGCTCGGTGCACTTCGACGGGGAGACGATCGAGGGCGCGCCGCCGCTGTGGGCCGCCTCGGCCGCCGGTCACCTGGACGTGGTGCGCAGCCTGCTGCGCCGCGGGGCCTCGGTGAACCGCACCACGCGCACCAACTCGACGCCCCTGCGCGCCGCCTGCTTCGACGGGCACCTGGAGGTGGTGCGCTACCTGGTGGGTGAGCACCAGGCTGACCTGGAGGTGGCCAACCGGCACGGCCACACGTGCCTCATGATCTCCTGCTACAAGGGCCACCGCGAGATCGCCCGCTACCTGCTGGAGCAGGGCGCGCAGGTGAACCGGCGCAGCGCCAAGGGCAACACGGCCCTGCACGACTGCGCCGAGTCCGGCAGCCTGGAGATCCTGCAGCTGCTGCTGGGCTGCAACGCCCGCATGGAGCGCGACGGCTACGGCATGACCCCACTGCTGGCGGCCAGCGTCACGGGCCACACCAACATCGTGGAGTACCTCATCCAGGAGCAGCCCGCCGGCGAGGAGGGGCGGCCGGGGCTGTCCGGGGAGGCCTCGGCCGCCGCCGGCCCCCCGGGAAGCGCGCCGCCGCAGGGGGCCCGCTGCTGCCGCCCCGCCCCCGAGGAGCCGCTTAGCGATTCTTACGAGAGCTGCTGCCCCACCAGCCGCGAGGCCGCCGTGGAAGCCCTGGAGTTGCTGGGAGCCACGTACGTGGACAAGAAGCGGGACCTGCTCGGGGCCCTGAAGCACTGGAGACGGGCTATGGAGCTGCGGCACCAGGGCGGCGTGTACCTGCCCAAGCCCGAGCCCCCGCAGCTGGTGCTGGCCTACGACTGCTCCAGGGAGGTGACCACCGCCGAGGAGCTGGAGGCGCTGATCACGGACCCCGACGAGATGCGCATGCAGGCCCTGCTGATCCGCGAGCGCATCCTGGGCCCCTCTCACCCGGACACCTCCTACTACATCCGCTACCGGGGCGCGGTGTACGCGGACTCGGGCAATTTCGAGCGCTGCATCCGCCTGTGGAAGTACGCCCTGGACATGCAGCAGAGCAGCCTGGAGCCCCTGAGCCCCATGACCGCCAGCAGCTTCCTGTCCTTCGCCGAGCTCTTCTCCTACGTGCTGCAGGACCGGGCGGCCAAGGGCAGCCTGGGCACCCAGATCGGCTTTGCAGACCTCATGGGGGTGCTGTGCAAGGGCGTGCGCGAGGTGGAGCGGGCGCTGCAGCTGCCCAAGGAGCCGGGGGACTCGGCGCAGTTCACCAAGGCCCTGGCCATCATCCTGCACCTGCTCTACCTGCTGGAGAAGGTGGAGTGCACGGCCGAGCAGGAGCGCCTCAAGCACCAGACCGTGTACCGGCTGCTCAAGTGCGCCCCCCGCGGCAAGAACGGCTTCACGCCCCTGCACATGGCCGTGGACAAGGACACCACCAACGTGGGCCGCTACCCGGTGGGCCGGTTCCCCTCCCTGCAGGTGGTCAGGGTGCTGCTCGACTGCGGGGCGGACCCGGACAGCCGGGACTTTGACAACAACACGCCGCTGCACATAGCGGCCCAGAACAACTGCCCCGGGGTCATGAACGCCCTCATCGAGGCGGGTGCCCACATGGATGCCACCAATGCCTTCAAGAAGACCGCCTACGAGCTGCTGGACGAGAAGCTCCTGGCCAGGAGCACCATCCAGCCTTTCAACTACATCTCCCTGCAGTGCCTTGCCGCCCGCGCCCTGGACAAGAACAAGATCCCCTACAAGGGCTTCATCCCCGAGGAGCTGGAGGCCTTCATCGAGCTGCACTGACGGCGCCTGGAGAGAGGAGCATCCGGGAGGCCCGGGGCCGCGTGCGCGCTCCCCGTCTCTTCCTGAGCCCTTGGGTGGCTCGACACGGAAGGGCCGTCTGGCCTCCGCGGCCCCGTCACCCCGGCGGGGAGGGGAGAGGAACTAGCAGCTTGTGGGCGCTCACAGCCTTCAGGATCGCGTGCTCGAGGAGATGCCTGCTGTTCCCCTCGCCCCGTCTGCCTGGGTCCCAGAGGGTTTTGCCTCTTTGCCTGGAGGCAGAGGAATGGAAGCTTTTGCCTCTTTCCCTCCAGCAACTGGAAGAAGCTGCGGATCGGGCCGTGCTTCTCCGCCTCTACCCTCTGCGTCGCCGGAGAAACCCAGCCCCGAAACGCAGCGTCGGGACTGGGGGCCCTTCAGGTCGAAAGTTGGAGATTAGAGAAGCGAGACCGACTGTCCCTTCTTCCAGCAGCACCCCTGCGCCCCGCGCCCCGCTCCCTGCCCCCGGGCGCGGCTTCTGATGCTTTGCTATTCTGGTTCGCGAGAGCAAGTTACACGTGGGGCACCGGAGTCCCGAGGTTTCGCTGCCGTTTTTTTGTTTGTTTTTTTTTTTTCTTTTTTAAAGAATGTGTGGTCAGATTAAAGAAGTTCGTTCCACACGGGGAGTTCCCGTGGTGCCCGAGATGTCGAGGCGGTCGGGAGTGAGCCTCGCGGCTCGCAGGGGTGAGGCAGGTGGACGTCCGCGGTGTCGGCCCAGCGTGAGCGTTTTTGAAAGCTTCACTCGTTTGCCTTCTGCTTGGGCTTCCCGACGTGGCGTTGATAGCCAGAGAGGCGTTTTCAGGCCGGCCTCTGTCCCCTGCTCGGGGAGAAGGAGCGTGGCTGGCTCGGGTGCGGTTCCCCCGGGTTCTGCGTTCAGACTCGGCGGCCGCCGCAGCCCCGCACACGCCGACCGCGGCGGCTCCAGCCATTTTCTCTCTCTCTCTCTCTCTTTTTTTTTTTTTCTTTTTCTTTTTCTTTTTTTAGCTGCTTGAAAGCCTGAGTCCAGGCGTTCCCGAGCAGATTCCAAGGACGCTGTCGAGCCAGCAGACGGCGGATGTCCACGAACTGGGAGCTACGGGGTCTTGGTTTCCCATCACTCAGGGTCTCTCGCGCCCTGGCAGGCCGCTGTAGAGCAGGGGACAGTCGAAGGGGACAGAAGCAGCTGCCCCGGCCCCAGAGGAGGGTCACACCCGGGAGAGGGGGGGTCCTATCCCGCAGCCTGGGTGGGGGGCGGCAGCGACATGCCCCCCACGCCCATCACCGCAGGCTCCCTGGGGGACCCGCCCCTCCGAGGAAGCTCGGCCTCGTTTGGATTTGCAGTGTGAGTTAGGACGTTATTTATTTTCAGGGCCGGGTTTGATCTTCTGTCAAGGCAGGAGACAGTCACTGGCCCTTGAAAGCACAGAATAAAGCAATGAGGCAGTTGACCTTGTGTCTGCACCCATGTTTCTGTCCTGCGCCCGGGGGGGGGGTGTCGCCGGCCGCTGCGGAGTGCAGAGCCCCGTGGGATGGGTTCGTGGAGACCCCAGGCCCCCCAAGCCACTGTCTCTCACCGGGGGCGTTTGGAGGGGTGTCCTGGGGCCACCGGGCCTGATTTCCCCAGGGAAGTGGCCCGTCCTGCACATGGCAAGACAGGAGAGCCGCTGACAGAACACTGAACCCCTGCCTTGTGGCTGGGCAGGTGCAGAAGAGGTGGCGTGTCCCTCCCGAGACGGGGGAGGGCTCGGGGAGCGGGGGCACCCAGGAGGCCGCGGGGGAGCTCGGCGGGTTTCCTGGAGCCGGTTCTGGCTTGGGGAGGGGAATCAGGGTCTCTCCACGTCAGCCCAGTGCAAGCCCTGCTGTGTGGCCTTGGACAGCGGGACCCCGCACACCTGGGGAAGGCCCGGTCTCTGTCTCCTGGCCTCATGGGGTCCTGCCCGCTCGGGACAGCGAGCACCCGCGGCGCTGCAGTGTGAACACATCGTTGTCTTGAAGGAGTGGCCGTTGAATCAGCAGGTGCTCGAGTGGCCTAGGGAGACACGGCACCGGCCAGAGCATGTGCTGTGCCCTTGCTGGATGCCAGGCTCCATCCGTGAGCCGCTCAGGGCAGCTCTGGAAAGTCGGTGTTCTTCTCCCTGTTTTGCAAGTTAGGGACGCGGGCTATGGCGTGTTCCAAGAACTGCCACAGAGGAAACTGTCCCCCGCCCCGGGCCACATGTTTTCTTTTTTCCAAGCTTAGACATGAGAACTGTGACTTCAGCCCCAGGCTCACGCAGGCCCCTTAGAGTTCAGGGGGGTGTCACCAGGCAGCGACCCACAAAATGCAGGGCAGCTCTCTTGCTCCCCTCAGCCCCAACCAGTCACAGTGGGCCGGGAGCCTGGTGTGTGCACTGCTCCACCCCGTGTCCCCAAACCTCTGCGGTCTGAGTGAAGGCGGGGCTGCGTGAAATGCAGGGACAGGTGCCGCGGCTGCCAGGCCGCAGGGGAGCCCAGGAGCTGAGTGGCTGGGAGCTCAGGGGGAGGGGTCGGAGGGGTCCCCTGCCCATGGGAGCTGCTTCCTGTCCCCCCCTCCCGAGCTTGGGTTCTACCCACTCAGCCAGCTGCTCGGTGGGTCCCTGTCTCAGACTTCCGGAGCCCCACGTGGTGTCAGTCACGGCTGGGTCCTGGGAGCCCATGTGCTGAGGGGGGAGATGGGCGGGTGGATTCACAGGGGCACGTCTCTCCCCTTGGAAGTCCAGGGCCTCTAGCCTGGGCCCTGCTCGCCTCGGGGCCGCCACCCTTACAGGATTCCAGGACTGTCATCTGAGCGGTGTTTACAGGGAGGGGAGCGGAGCGTCCCGGCCCTGGGTTAAAGATAGCCTGGCTCAGAATCACGTCACAGGCTGGAAAGGGGAGGTGACCAGTGCCTGGGAACACGGGCACTCAGGGCCGGCACAGCAGGGTGCTGACGCCGTTGTCCTGGAGCGAGTCCTGTCCTGTGGATTCCTGCGGGGAACTCAGCAGGGACTGGACAAGGAGCCCGTTGCACTGACTGGTGACCACGAGCATTCGGCGACACCAGCCCGGATCTGGGCGCCGCCAGCAGCACTCCTGCAGAGGGAGGCGGTTTCCCTCCCGGACCCCCGCACCTGTGCTTCCCGTAGGCTGCAGGAGAGACGTTGAACGTGCCTTGGGTGGGACATTTGAGACCCCCCAGTGCAACCTGTCCCCCTGCCCGAGGCCTTCGTGTCCTCTACTCATAAAAGCTCATCGAGCTGTAATTTTGATCTGATGTCCCCTCCTCCAAGAAGCCCTCCCAGATCGTCGAAAGCATCTCAACCATCCCCATCCCCTTGGTTATTTCCTTCTCAGCCCCCACGTATAACTCGAACCCCTGGCATGACCCTGATCGTTTTCTTCATTTGCTTCCTTACTTGTTCCTGGTGTCCCCTTCCCTAGAACGCCACGTGCACCAGCTCGTTCCCTGTTGTGGCCCGGGGCCCGACACACAGAAGTTTGCTGAACGAATAAATGCATTCACGAGGCGCCCTGCAGGGCCACATGGAGTGAGGGTGGAAGGCGCTGGGGAGCCTGGGGAGCACAGGCGGGTGGTGCGCGGCCTTGAGCGCTCTGTGCTCTACCCCCTGAGGCGAGGAAAGATGTGCGGAGAGTGGAGCTCGGAGATCACCAGCAGTGGCTGCAGGAACAGGACAGAGGGGTACTGCGGGGGTCCCCCGGCTAGTGGTGGCCACACAGCCATCTGGCCTGTAAGGTCCTTCTCCAGAGGAACACGCCGGCCCCAGTCCAAAGTGTCCCCTCAGGAAGCTGGACATTCAAGTGCGAATTAAACCCGGAGTGCGTGGAAGCCAGGAATGAAATCAGGGAAACAAAGACACAAACGAGGGACTCCCTACGGGCTTGGTCAGAGGAGCGAGCGACTTGACCTCGGGTGGTGAGTTTGGGCCCTTGCAGGGTGTAGAAAGTCCTTAAATAAAACTTTTTTAAAAAATTAAAAATTAAAAAAATGCACAAACAATAGAGAAAAACCAAGAACCCAAAAGCTGGTTCTTTTAAAAGTTAAGTAAAATTGACACAACGAGCCCCGAGTAAAGCCTAGAAGTAAGCGTCAAGTCGCCGGACCGCACACCGGGAATGAGTATCACTTACTAACCACACTGCAATTAAAAACAAAGTATTTTTTAATAATTTATGTATTTATTTTTTAAGATTTTATTTATTTACTTGACAAACAGAGATCACAAAGTAGGCAGAGAGGGAGGGGGAAGCAGGCTCCCCGCTGAGGGGCTCCATCCCAGGACCCTGAGATCATGACCTGAGCCGAAGGCAGAGGCTTTAACCCACTGAGCCACCCAGGCGCCCAAACAAAATACTTTATTAAGAACAAAAGTCACATAAAATTAAGTGAAACACGCGTGCAGCGCGGCTTCGGCCCTGGGGCCACCAACCCGCCTTCAAAGCTTCCTCACTGAGGGAAGGAGCATGCTCACTGGGCCACAGGGGGGCAGAGGTCAGAACAGTGGCCACGAGACCTTGGGAATGCACTGCCCCTCCCCGTGCCTCAGTGTCCTCTAATTCCGGGGTGAACAGGACCAGCTGCCAGCCGCATGGCAGGAAGGACTGAGACGGTCAGTGAAAATGTCCTGGGGCACGGGAGATGCATGATGCTCGCTGTCTGCACTCTCACTTCCACGTCCGCTATGGATGGGCTCTGGGAGCTTCCCGGTATTCATATATTTATTCGAATGTGTCTTAGGGAGCCAAACTTAGCTAGCCTCCCCCCACCACTGACAGCATGTGAGTTTAGAAGTGTTAATACTGCAAATGGCCCACAGTCCAAAATAACGACGAGTTACAAGTTTTTACTGGGAGAAAATTCACCGTTCTGAAGTGTGCAGTTCCGTGGCTTTTACAGTCCCAAGGTTGTGTAGCCAACACCACGGTCCAATTCCAGGAGATAAAAGCCGGCGAGGTGGGGGGGCAGTCAGTGTTAAAGCCGGTTTAAAGAAAACGGTTACATGACTCAAGAAATAGAAAAGAAGCAAAGAAGAGGGCAGGAGGCAGGTGAGCAAGGCTGGGGGATGGCCGGGAGGGTGCCCAAGCTCGTGATGGCCCCGCGTGACAGCAGGGCTCTGGAGCCCAGCCTGCCTGCTGCCAACACCCAGGTGCCCGTGGAGAAGGGGGACGGGGTTCACAGGATGGGGGCCTGCACAGAGCCCACTAGGGGGTCTCAGGGACTTCAGGGGGGCAGCAGGGAAGACAGAAGATGAGGCCAGGCCCCTCTGAGAGGTCAGAAAACTCCTCTTCTTGGGAAGAGAACAAGTTTTTAAACTTCCCTTGGAAATCGGAAACCCTTGCACCTCCCAGGGCTATAAAAAGGCCGTGTCCCCTGGCCAGGCTAAAAATAAAAGATCCCCACCCAGAAGCGCTGGGGGTGAGAGGGGGCACGGTGTGGGCCTGGCTGGGATGGAACTTGCTGTGTGACTTAAAGCAGGTGTTTGCCCTCTCTGGGCTGTGATCCCCAACAGCATTAGACTGGACAATTTCTGAAGACCCAGTTAATGGGGATATGTATACGGCGGCTGTTGTTACGGAGGCTCTAAGCGGGAAAAGAGGGCTGCCAGCATGACCTGAAACTTGGCACTCTCTTAGGGTGTTTGCGGGGGTGGGGTGGGGGGGTGTCTCTGCTCCTCCAGCGTCCCTCCAGCGTCTCTCCAGCCCCAGGCAGGGGAGAACTGGAATCACTATCCCATGGCGACCCCTGGTGGCGCAGAGTACGCACTGCAGCATCTTCTGGGTCTCCGCAAATAAACGCGGCATCCTGTTCTGGGGGGAAGGGGGGCCACATATGTGACACAGGTTCTCAGGTCGATGGGCTCCTCCCCATCCTTCAGGGGCGCCAAACTACCTCCCAGCATGGGGTCTTTGCATGGGCTATACCTTCAGTCTGCAGTAGCCTTACCTTCTTGGAATGCTTCCTCCAGGAAGTCTCCCATGACTGCCCCCAGCCCCAGGGCCCCCACAGTGGCATCTGCGTCCCCCATCACACCCAGGACCACCCGACTGCAACCACCTAGTGGTGTGTCTGTCTCCCTCACACAGCTGTGAGTCCCATGAGGGCAAAAACAGGGTCTGCTTTAGTCAACACTTTGTCCACCAAATCTGAAATCATCCCTGGCATACATTAGGTGCTCAATACATACTGTTCAATGAACATCTGTTCAATATATCTGTTCAATGAACAGATGACAAAGCGAATGAACAGTCCATTCACCAGCAGGGAGGAGGGAAACAGAACAAAGAGGTTATTTTAAAGATAAAAAGATTTGCACATTGATTTAAATTCATTTATTAAGCACCTGCTGTGTGCCAGGTACCGGGGTCCAGCAGTGAAATCAACAGATAAAATTCCCATCCTCTTGGGAAGGCAGATGATAATGTGCTCAGTGAATAAGTGACTCACTGTTTTTTGCCTCAAAGTGAGACCAATAGAATGGGAGGGGGGATGGGAGGATCTGGTAGACAAGGTTGTAAATGATTTTAAATGGGGCGCTCAGAGAAGCCTCCAGTAAGAGGATACATCTGAGCCAAAATCTGGAGGAGGTGAGGAGGGGACTATGTAGGCTTCTGGAGGAAGGACATTCCAAGTAGAGGGAACCACCCATGTAAAGGTCCTGGGGTAGGACCACATCTGGTGTGTTGAGGCCCATGTGGCTCATACAGACTAGGCAGGTGGGGGGGGGAGAGGGAGCGGTGGGGAGTGCAGCTCGAGCCGGGCCTTGGAGGCGGCAAGGAGAACTCCTGCTTGTACCCCAGAGAGGTGGGAGCCCTGGAGGACTGCGGCGGATGCCCCTCTGGTGGGCCATCCAGATCGCGCGGGAGATGCAGAAGATTTGCAAAATTCCAACTCAAAATCCCTCAAGTTCTGCCCGGGGCCGGGTGGCAGCTATGCACGCACCAGGTGACACTGGGCAATGCACTGCTGTCTCTGGGCCCAGAGAGCAGGAGGACATTTGTACAAGATCTAATCATCCCAGAAAAACATCATTCCAAGCAGGGACAAAGCTATGAACCTCCGAAAACAAATCATCTGTTACTGATTCGTGTGTCCCAGTTTTTGAAGAAGGGGAAATTTTCAAAAAATTCCCCCCTGTTTTTCGTTGAGGCTGTTTGTCTTAGCAGGGACAGGGGGGTTTCCCAGGAAACACTCCAGGCCCGGTGGCCACCAGGGGGCGCTAGGGCATCAGGACTTGAGGCTGAGCCTCCAGCTCTGGGGACCCACAGCAGGGCCTGAGTTGTCCTAGCCGGCCTTCTCACCTCTGGGCCTTTGCCCGTGCTGTGCACACCTCCAGGAACTCTCTTCTCAGCCCACGGCTCGTTCCAACATACGACTCAGAGCTCCGCTTACTTCCTCCTTCCAGAAACTTCTCTTAATCCCCCCAGGCTGGTCAGCGGTCGCCTTTGGGCCTCAGGAGGCCCCTACACTTCTCCCTCACAGGACTAATCCCCTCTCACTGTTTCTGTCTCTGGCAGCTGACCCGGAGTCCTGGGAGAATAGGACGGAGTTGTCTCAGGTCACCTTGGGGGGGATGGTGACCACATGGTCACCACTGTGCCCATAGGGGCTGCACCCAGTAGGAGCTCAATAAATGTGGTTTGGGTACGGAGAGGGATGAGTCCACATCCTCTCCACCCACTGCCCTGTGAACCCCAGCGTCCCGCACAGGCCTGCCCACCTCAGATGCTCCGAATACTGTTCCTCAAAAGGATTCACTTATAGAGCAACTACCGCACGCTGGGCGCCGGGGAAACTACCATGACCCAGACAGATGCAGGAGCCAGGAGAGGGACACGACTATTTCACAGAATAAAAAGAAAACAATGGAGGTCATGAATGAGCCGTCTGCACAATCTCCATATGGGCTAGAAGCCAGTAGAGACACCTGTCTCCTTCCTCTGCCCCCAGAGGCTACTTATGTGCTCTGTGACCTTGGATAAGTGACTTCCCCTCTCTGGGCCTTTGTTTCCTCATCTGTAAACTAGGGACAAGGATAGTCTCCGGCTCCTGGGCTGTTGGGAGGATAAAATAAGCTCAGCCAGGATGCAAAAGCCTCAGCGCAGGGCTTTCAAAATTCCTGTCCTTTAAGTATGCTGCAGTGGCACGGGGACATCCAAAGTACTGGAGTTCCAGACCTGAAGTCACTAGATCTGTGTATGGATGGGAAAGATGAGACCCAGGAAAGGGCTGTGACTTGTCCCAAGTCTCACAATGTCTCAGGGATGAAATAAAGACTCACGCTCTGAATGTCCCCATTTGTCCTTCCTCTGCCTCCACCTAGGTCCAGCCCCCATCAAGGCTGGCCTGGACCTGCTCTGTTGCCACTGCTCTGGTCCCAGGCTCAGGACGGGGCCCAACTTCTGGCCCTGGCCTTCCCAGAGCAGTCACCAGAGGACGCAGATGAACACTTGAGTCAGCTCCTGCCGGCTTATGTCCACAGCCTTTCAGGGACACCACCTCCCTGAGGGAAAAGCCCAAGTCCTCCCAGAGGCCCGCAAGGCCCAGCAGGAACCTGCTACCGTCCCCTCCCTGCCCTGTCCTCCTCCCTCTCTCATTCTCCTCCAGCCATACAGGCATCCTGGCTGTTCCTCTAACATGACAGGCGGGTCCTGCCCCAGGACCTTTGCACAGCTATTGGCTCTGCCCAGAAAATCACCCTGGTCCTCAAGCTAGTCTCATCATGGCCAGCTCCTCTTCCTGCGGGTCTTGGCTCTAACACCACCTCCTCAGAGAGGCCCTCCCTGGCCACTCGGGACAAAGTCTTCCCACCTAGGACACTCCATCTCACCGTTCATTTCTTCCAATATCCCTTCACTTTCAATTCACTTCAATTATCTCATTTCATGTGATGACTCATCCACTGTCCCCTCCCCTCCACCTCCAACTAAAAGAAGAGCAATGGATAGATTGCCTCTGCCTTTGCCGCTACTGCACTCCAGTGCCTGGGTCAATCTGGGTACACAGTAGGCGCTCAATAAATGTTCACATGAACAAATGGCCTGTTCACGACCATCATCCAGTTACTTGCAGTTAGCTCTGGCCTCCACTATCAGACAACCATCTGTCCACAAACCCAGCCCACCTCTGCCCACCCCGGAAGCCTGTCCCAGGCTCCTCCCTCGGTTTCACTTCAGTGCCACAGAGACTCCAGAAAGCTGACACCCAACAAAATCTGAGTCAGTGGCTAAAATAACCAGCAATATCTGACAGCATGGGTGACTCAGCCAGGCCTGCCACGCCCGCCCTCTGGGGCCTCAGGAAACGGAGGAAAGGGCTTGCAAGTTAATGTTTGAGCACTATGATTGAGCCTGTTGTGCCGGAGGGGCCGGCAGCTTTCCTGGCCTTGGCGGCTGGAGTTCACCCTTCCTGCACTCCTTCCCTTGGAAATTATAATTCCTCCACTTCTGACCTGTGTGACCAGTGGGGACTCAAATTCACCCCTTTGAGCCCATTTGCCCTATCCCTAAAATGAGCCCAACAATATAAGCTTCTACCCTGGGAAAGGTCAATTTGGGGCATTAAAATATGTTCAGAAGAGGGAGGCTAGCTCAGTGGGTGGGGCATGTGACTTTTGATCTCAGGGTCCTGAGTCGGAGCCCCCATTGGATGCAGAGATTACTTTAAAAAATGAAAACAAAATAAAATACGTTTAGATCTTTAAAGCCTAACAAGTGTTAATTCTGTTCTTTCTCAAAGGTCTGTGACGCTGAGAAAAGATTAACCCCGTCCCCTCCAGGCCTGCTGTTTATGAGCACTTACACTGCGAGCTTCAGTGTCTCGCGCAGGATCTGCTGACCTTGAAACACCACACCCACTTCTCAAATGAGAACTGGAGGCTCGGAGAGCCCAAGGCCTTTGCCCAAGATCACGTGGTCAGATCTGAGCCAAGAGAGGTGGAGGGGTGGCACGACATACCAAAGCAGGACCCCGCGGCCAAAAGAAGCCCAAAAAAGAGGGGCTACAGCAGTGGGTGCTAAATGCTGTGTCTTTTCTTTCCCTGTTCTCTTGTATTAGAACCAAAACTTTAAGCAAAGCGCTTGGCCCAGCAGAAGACTACATTTCCCAACGTCCCTTGTACCCGAGGTACCACGTGACTACGCTCTGGCCAATGATATTCGAGAAACCGCACACTGTGACGGGTCCCTGCCTCACACGCGGAGAAGCCCGCTCCTCTTCTCGGGTTCACTTTTTTGGGAACAGAAGTCGTCTCCCAGAGGAGATCGGCACCGCAGAAACATTCAATAAATAGTTACCACAATTAAAGCACGGTAGCCACATCCCCCGCCCGCTCCCCGCACCACCACACAGGGCAGAATTCGAAAATGCCGCGTCCAGTTCTGGACACCGTGCGCGCCAGAAAGTCATCGGGTCCCCTTTGCACGGTTTCCGCGGAGCGGCGGCCGACGTCACGCTCCTCTGCCCCCTCTGGAAACGGTGGGAGCGTCCCCAAGGTCCGGGTCCTCCTGCCCGCCTCCCGGCCCCTCTGCCCCTTGCGTCTTGTCCTCGGGCGTCTGGGTCCCTCTCTGGTTCCACATGTGGTTGTGGAGGCCCAGCTGCACCATCTGGGCGTGATGGATGATCAGGGGCTGCAGCCCGGGGCTCTGGGGGGGCGCGGGGCCGGGAGGCGGGAAGCCGGGGTGCGGCGGGAAGGCGGGGGGCGGCAAGAAGGCCGGGGGCGGCGGGAAGGCTGACGCGGGCGAGCCGGCCACCCACGCAGGCCCCGGGGGTGGCTGGTGGCCCGGCCAGAAGGGAAAGGGCGGGGGGGCGCCCATAGGCCCCGGGCCCCCGGGGGACATCTGTGTCCCAAATGGCATGTGGCTCCCGAAGGCCGCCCGCAGGGCCTCCATCTGCTCCTGCCAGCTCCAGCAGCTCTGGAAGTAGGCCGAGTAGGCGGCGTTCAGTTTGGCCACCTGCTGCCGCTCGCCCTCCAGGTGCCGGCACTGCTCCTGCAGGGCCCGGACCTCCTGCTCCTTCTTCCACTGGGCCTTGCGGACTCGTAGCTTCTGCTGCTTGAAGGTGTTGGCCACCTTCTTGTCAAAGATCTGGGAGTGCTCGTCCAGCCACACCAGGCCGGTGAGCAGGCTGGACGTGTGCGGGCTCAGCTGGGCCCGGGAGCTCTCCCGCGGCAGGAAGGGGATCACGCAGCCTTGCCACTCTTCCCGCATGAGGCTGCTCATCAGCGACTGGCTGGCCTGGTGGCGGCCCAGGTGGCAGTCGAAGCTGGGGGTGAGCAGCAGGACGGTGAAGGCCGAGTGGTCGATGGCATCTTGCAGGCAATGCAGCTCACCCCGCCCGGGCACCTGGAAATCTTCGCAGAAGGTGGCCCCATTGGGAACCCCCAGGGCCTCCAGCCTCTCCCGAACCCTCAGGGCGATGTGTTCATCCGCGGCGACGTGCAGGACCACGAAGTTATAGAATTTCTGCTCTGACTCCAGCTCGGGAGAAGGGGGGCAGGGGCTGGACGCCAGGCCGGGGGAAGGAAGGGTGGACGGAGGAGGGCCCGGAGAGGACGTGGGCGGGGCTGGCGGCATGGGTGGGCGTGGGCTGGCCACCTGGGAAGCCTTATCTTCCACAGGAAGTGGGAGTGGGGTCTGGTCCTTGTCAGGGCAAGGGTTTCTGGAGGCCAAGGAGGAAGATTTCGGGCCTCCCAACTCTTCGGTGCACTCCACGAGGTAGTGGGTGCTGATTTCCAGAGCTCTGGGGGCATCTGGCTGGCCAGCATGGCTTGCATCTGGGACCAGTTTAGTAACCCTAGGGACTGGGCTGCTTGGTAGCACCGGGGATCTGTCACTCTCCCTGGATGGGGGGCGGTCAGTCTCCCCCAATGGGAGGCTGGCACTCTCCCCAGATGAGGGGCTGACGGTCTCCCTCCGTGGGGGGCTGGCAGTCTCCATGGATGGGGGGCTGACCGTCTCTTCCAACGGTGGCCAGCTCACCTCCTCAGGCTCCTGGTAGCCCGTGGGGGCAGGCTCGGGCACTGGGCTGGCCTGGGGCTCGTCACACAGCTTGCTGGGCCCATGGCAGCTGCCGGGATGGCTGAGAAAGGGTAGGGTGGGCGACTGGCTGATTTCCAGATTGCTGGCCAGGGAGGAGGGGCTGCCGGTGGATCTCAGGGAACGCCCTCTGCTCCAGCCCGAGAGGTGCTCTATGGGCTGCGGGAGGCTGCGGGTGCCTGAGGGTGACGCTGAGGAGGCTGGCAAGCAGCCCAGGTCAGAGTGAAGGGGTTGGAAGCTCCCTGGGTCCCCGATGATGCCCCACCCACACCGGTCCTGGGCCTCTCCCTGGAGCTCGGCGAGCCGGTGGTCATCCCTGGAGCGGAAAGTATGGAGGGCAGCCCGGTAGGCCGTGTCCCGCATAGCGGCCGGGCACAGCTTCTCCTCGGTGAGCAGGTGGTACACCCGGGCAACTGCCCAGGACAAGTCTGGGGGCTCCTCTGGGGCCTCGGTGCTGTCCATGCCGGCCCACTGGCGGGCCACCAGCCGCGCCACTGCATCTGCCTGCAGCGCCTCCAGGGAGATCCTGGCCTCCGTCTCCTGGCCCAGCTTCAGGAGCACCATGGCGTGCAGGAGGTCCGCCCCCCGGCAGCCCGGCCGCAGGGTCTTCAGCTTGTGCTTGAGATGCAGGAGCTTGCCTTGGCCCGCGGCACCTAGGATGTCAAAGGCGCTGGAGAGCGACAGGCCCGCGCAGGCCATGGGCATGGGTGGGTGTGGCCCTGGGAAGCAGAAGCACTGGGTGGCGGAGGCATGTTCCACACCACTGGCCTTCCCGCATGCTCGGAGTCCCCTACGGGCTCACCATACCGAGTCTCACGGGGGACACGGCCGTAGACCTGTGAAGCAAGAGCGACATGGTCACCTCCAGAAAGGGGACAGCTCCAGGAGGTGGCCAAGACTCCGCCACCTGCCTGCCCTCCAGTGCCACCCCCACACATCCGGGTGAGCTTGGGAAAGCTCCCTGCCACGCTCCCCACCCCTGCCCCACCTCCATTTCCCTCCTGCAAGAGGACAGAGGTCGACACTTGCCTGGTGTCACCTAAGACATAGACAGTATTATTTTCCTCATTTGCGTGTGAAAAAAAGCGTACCAGAGAAGGGAGGTCACTTGCCCCAAGTCACACAGCCAGTGGGGGACAGAGCTGGGATTTGAACCCACGAAGTCTGGCTCCAGAGGCTGAGGGCCCAACCACAGGAGTATACTGTCTGTTAGGAATAATAAGCTTGGGGCGCCTGGGTGGCTCAGTGGGTTAAAGCCACTGCCTTCGGCTCAGGTCATGATCCCAGGGTCCTGGGATCGAGCCCCGCATCGGGCTCTCTGCTCAGCAGGGAGCCTGCTTCCCTTCCTCTCTCTCTCTGCCTGCCTCTCTGCCTACTTGTGATCTCTGTCTGTCAAATAAATAAATAAAATCTTAAAAAAAAAAAAAAGGAATAATAAGCTTACTTGTGGGATCGGTTCATGGAATTGTGCTGCCTTCACGTATGGAAAGTTCTGAGCCCGATGACCAGAAGTCAGCAGGCACTCAGTACCTGTTCACTAGGGAGGTGATGGGGCTCCCAGATGCCCCCCCCAGGACCTCCACCCTGGTATTCATGGCCCAGGGCTGCCCCTCCAGCGGAGAGCCAGAGCCAACCTCGGTGACTGATGGACTCCAGCGGAAGTGATGGGCGGTCACTAGGGACATCAGGTTATAAGACACTGGCTTGGGGCGCCTGGGTGGCTCAGTGGGTTAAGCCTCTGCCTTCAGCTCAGGTCATGATCTCAGGGTCCTGGGATCGAGCCCCGCATTGGGCTCTCTGCTAGGCAGGCGGCCTGCTTCCCTTCCTCTCTCTGCCTGCCTCTCTGCCTACTTGTGATCTCTGTCTGTCAAATAAATAAAATCTTAAAAAAAAAAAAAAAAAAAAGACACTGGCTTTCTTCTAGGTTCCCTCTGCTTGGAGGGCTCCTTCCCCAGATCTTTGCCTGAGGGATGGTTGTCTCATTATTCAGCTCTGACGCATGTGTCGGCAGTCCTTCCCAGTCCGCCTCACCCACGTCACCTTGCCCCCCCCCAGCGTGTCACTGGGTGAACTTTTCTTGTGTTAGAATCTTCCCATTTGGGCGCCTGGGTGGCTCAGTGGGTTAAGCCTCTGCCTTCGGCTCAGGTCATGATCTCAGGGTCTGGGATCGAGGCCCGCATCGGGCTCTCTGCTCAGCGGGGAGCCTGCTTCCCCCTCTCTTTCTGCCTGCCTCTCTGCCTACCTGTGACCTCTCTCTCTCTCTCAAATAAATAAATAAAATCTTAAAAAAAAAAATAAAAAGAGGGGCGCCTGGGTGGCTCAGTGGGTTAAGCCGCTGCCTTCGGCTCGGGTCGTGATCTCGGGGTCCTGGGATCGAGTCCCGCGTCGGGCTCTCTGCTCGGCAGGGAGCCTGCTTCCCACTCTTTCTCTCTCTCTCTGCCTGCCTCTCCATCTACTTGTGATCTCTCTCTCTGTCAAATAAATAAATAAAATCTTAAAAAAAAATAAATAAATAAAATAAATAAATAAAAAGAATCTTCCCGTTTGCCATCTGCCTCCTGACCAACGAGTTTCTGAGGCTAGGGCCTCGCCTCGCCTACCACTGCTGGTTTGCTGAGCCACAGAACGGGGACCTAACCTCGTGGAATGAATGAATGAGGCCAGAACTGATATCCTGCCAATGTTGTGGATGAAGAAAGAGGCACGGGGGCGCCTGTGGGGCTCAGTCGTTAAGGGTCTGCCTTCGGCTCAGGTCATGATCCCAGGGTCCTGGGATTGAGCCCCGTGTTGGGCTTCCTTCTCAGCAGGAAGCCTGCTTCTCCCTCTCCCACTCCCCCTGCTTATGTATCCCTCTCTCGCTGTGTCTCTCTCTGTCCAATAAATAAATAAAATCTTTTTTTTTTAAGATTTTATTTATTTATTTGACAGACAAAGATCACAAGCAGGCAGAGAGAGAAAGAGAGAGAGAGAGAGAGAGAAGGAGGCAGGCTTCCCACTGAGCAGAGAGCCCGATGTGGGGCTCGATCCCAGGACCCTGGGATCATGACCCGAGCCGAAGGCAGAGGCTTTAACCCACTGAGCCACCCAGGCGCCCCATAAATAAATAAAATCTTAAAAAAAAAAAAACAAAAGAAAGAAAAAACGGGCACAGGAAAAGGCCTGTGGTGGTGTCAATCTGCACTGGGCTCAGGTCATGATCCCGGGGTCCTGGGATCAAGCCCCATGGGGAGCCCACGAGGGGAGTCTGCTTCTCCCTCTCCCTCTACTGCTCCTCTGCTCTCTCTCTCTCTCACTTAGTCTCTCAAATAAATAAATAAAATCTTAAAAAAAAAAAAAAGAAAAGAAAAAAGGCCTTTCTCAAGGGCATGCTACAGGTTGCTGGGGAGAATATTCCAAATCCCATAACTGAGGTCGCCAGGTGCTCAAAGCACATCGTAATCAGTCTTAGGAAAAAAACACACACGTTCGGATCCATTCCAGGGGACTGAGAAGCCTTTACGTGCCCTTCAGCTGGGCTGGGACTTCTGTCTGGTCCACCCTAGTGCCCACAATGACACCGCGAAGCCCAGAGCCGTGTATCTCAACCAAGAACACCTCTGACTGCCAACCCCCAACCCTTGGCCACATCTGGGGACATCAGTGGTTGTCACGACCACAGGGAAAGGGGTGCCTGGCATCGCATAGATGAGGCCAGGGATCCTGCTCGCTCCCCCTTCCTCGAGCAGTGCCCAGGATGGCACCCTGAGAGAAAAGGACCCCGTCACTGAAGACCTGGTCTAGAGCCAAAGCTGACTCATGGATCACAGACCATGAATCACAGACTCAGTGCAAAAATGATTCAGGGTTTTTTTGTTTTGTTTTGTTTTGTTTTTTAATTCATTTTGAGTAGATGCAGCCCACTAGGGCCCCAGGGCCAAGGGCCAAGATTCCAGGAAGGTCAGATGCAGGCCAGGGAGGGCATGGGGAGAACTGGCACCGGGGATGGGGGCAGAACCACAAGGGGGACAGGACTGAGCTGCCCCCTGAGCAGGGCAGAAGAGAAGTGGCTGAGAAGGGGCAGAGGGAGTGGTGCTGGGGGGAAGGATGTAGAGAGGCAAGTGGTTGTCCGGCTGTTTCAGAAATAGAAGTGACCCAAGACGCTGACATGCAGATGTACGGGCCGGGGGAGGGGCTGGGGAGAGAAACAGCACAGATCTCCCCAAATGTAGCTGACTTCCTCATATGGAAGACAGACAACCAACAAATGAGTGACATTCACAGCACATCAGCTGGGAATAAACACCAAGGAGAAACATGAGACAGGAAGGAGGGTCACGAACCCTGAGAATCAGGGATGGGGGTGTTCACAGTTTTAAATAACGTGGTTCAAGGAGGCCTCGATGACAAGAGAAATTTCAACAGGACATACGAATGGGACCCAGAGGGACACCAGATGGAAGAGAGTTCCAGGCAGAGGGGGAACAGCATGTGCAAAGGCCCTGGGGCAGGACCAGTCAGGATTGATGGAGGAGCAGCAAGGATGCCTGCTCAGCTGAGTGAACAAGAGGGAGAGAGGGAGGAGGGGAGGGCAGGGAGAGGAACCGACGGGTCCTGCAGGGCTGTGTGGGCCATGGGGGGAGGACTTGGGCTTTCACACAGAGGGAGGGGGGACCTGAAATTTTAAACCACCTTAGACCTGTCTCAGAGTGGTGGCTGTGGCTTATGTGTGTTGCCACAAGGAAAAACAACTCCACGGGACCACATCGGTGAATACTTCAAGAGAAGCCAGAAATGCAGAGTTTTAGGACACTGCTAAGTTTTGCCAAGTTGGCAATCAATTCAAAAAAAAATTTTTTTTTTAAGATTTATTGAGGGGTACCTGAGCGGCTCAGTCATTAAGCGTCTGCCTTTGTCTCGGGTCATGATTCCAGGGTCCTGGGATCGAGTCCCACACTGGGCTCCTTGCTCAGCGGGAAGCCTGCTTCTCCCTCTCCCACTCCCCCTGCTTGTGTTCCCTCTCTCGCTGTGTCTCTCTCTGTCTAAATAAAATCTTTTAAAAAAAATTATTGATTTACTTGGGAGAAAGAGCCCTTGAGCAGGGGGAGGGGCAGAGAGAAAGGAAGAGAGACTCTCAAGCGACTCCATGCTGAGCAGAGAGCCCCCCATGGGGCTTGATCTCACACGACCCTGAGATCACAACCTGAGCCGAAACCAAAAGTCAGACGACCAGTGGACTATGCCACCCCAGGTGCCCCTCAATTTTGTTTTTTAAAGATTTTATTTATTTGACAGACAGAGATCACAAGTAGGCAGAGAGGCAGGCAGAGAGAGAGGAGTAAGCAGGCCCCCTGCTGAGCAGAGAGCCTGATGCAGGGCTTGATCCCAGGACCCTGGGATCATGACCTGAGCCAAAGGCAGAGGCTTTAACCCCCTGAGCCAACCAGGCACCCCTCAAATATTTTTAAGACACCTTGTGAGCTTTAAAAAAAAAAAAAAGGTGGACCAATATGCAAAGTAAAAACTGCAAACGTTATTTGTTGCATGATAAATAGTGAAGTGAGGAAGAAGCAAGGAAAACATTCATTCAACAAGGAATTTTCCAGCATCTGCCAAGTATCAGGCTCTGCTGAACCCACCAGGTCAGAGAGAAGAAAACAGAAATGGACTCTTTCCTCTTGGAGATGACAATCCAGTGGGCGAGATATTTACATGATATGTATATGATATATACATAATAGGGTAATAAAGTGGGTATATGTATACATAAAATACAAGCAATGGGTCTGCTTAACTGAGGACCTACTCGAGGCCGCCGGTCGCCAGGCACGGTCCTGCCTCAGGACCTTTATACTGGCTATTCCCTCTGCCTGCCAAGCTTTTACCAGGTACCCCCACCGCTCATTCCCTGTCCTCCTCCAGATTTTTTCTTCCATTTTATTTTATTTGCAGATTTTTTAAAAAATCAAGATTAGCTTGATGATGGGGTGCCCGGCTGGCTCAGTAGGTAGAGCGTGCGACTCTTGATCTTAGGGTAGCGAGTTCAACCCTCCCTGTTGGGTGTAGAGATTAGTTTAAAACAAACAAACAAACAAACACACAAACACAACTGCACATAACAGCTTAGAACAGAGACCAGTGACCTCAGGACACTGTGCATCACTGCCTTGGACAGAGGTCACTGGCTGCTCTCGTGGTTTTTGGCACACAACAGTGCGTGGCCACTGTCCACCTACTGAAGGGTCACAGCAGTGACCGTGCGGCCTGCAGCGCCGAAAATACTCACTCTCTGGCCCTTTACAGGAAACAGGTATGTGATTTTTTCCATACTCCGAGGGGTGAGCTTGACTAAGGTAGCACAGCTGAGACAGAGTGAAAGCCATTGGTGCACACATGTGTGTCTGTAACCATACCACCCAACTCTCTCTCTAGCCCATACAGTTACTGCAAAGCACAACAGGCTGTTACCCCAAACTGTGCCGCTCTGAAGAATTCCCAGGTTGGTACCCTAACTCCTGGGAGCTCAGAATGTGACATGCATCTGGGACTGGGGTCTTTACAGGGGTGCTGAAGTTAAAATGACGCCATCAGTGTGGATCCGAATCCAGTGTGACTGGTCTCCTTGGAAGAAGAGGAGGGGAGGACACAGACGTGCACGGTGTCAAGACCAGTGAGGACGCAGCGTCTGCACGCCCAGGAGAGACACCCCGGAAGGAACCAAACCTGCCCCCAGCTTCCTCTCAAACTGCCAGCTACCTGAGCCCTGAGAAGATACATTTCTGGTGCGTAAGCAGCCTCCTTCTTTGTATTTTAAGGTATGGCCACAAGGCTACTGAGCATTAGAAAGGTAGCCACTGCTGCTGAGGAGAAACCAAAATTTGCAACTGGGTTCATTTTTAATTAATCCAAACGGAAAATGATAAGCCGAGGAAGCCTCAAATATTCTGTCCCCGTTAAACGCAGTCTTGCTCTGGAAGGACCAGATTCCATTTGGAAACTGTTGGAAATACAGCACGGGAATCCAGGTCCGGTAAAAGACACACCAGATTTTGAATAATCAGCGTGTACACACACACACACACACACACACACACACACACATACACACACACACAGAGGTAAGATGCCTCATTAGTAATGTTTTGTATTGGTTACACGTAGGTTCTATTATGATACATAAAATGCATGGAGAGAATGGATTTGACCTGTTTCACTTTTCCTTTTGTTAATATCACTGTTGGGGAGTGGAAAATGGCATCGGCACCCCACGTTATGTTTCTGCGGGACATCGAAGGTTTACACGTTGGCACCATGACCCCGTAAGGCTGGGATCATCGCGTTTTTGACACAGGAAATGCTGCTTTTGTGTGCTGCTTATGGGCTGTTTTTAGCTACCTACCTACCTACCTACCTACCGGGAGATTGGGTAGAGGGTTACAGGTGCAAGGGAGCCATGAGACACAGAGACCTACAGCTCCTCCTGGCGGTGAAGGTAACTCCCCACCAGCTGTGTCACAGGATAAAACCTTCAAGTTCAACTCCTGCACGACCCACCGTCAAGTCTTTCTGAAATTAGCAAGATTGCTACTCGGAATATGGTCTGATATCCTCCCTCAACAGCAACGAGTCCCAGATCTACCATTCTTTCCACTTCCCGAGGAAAGTGTGTACAGCTGTGTATACAGCTTAAAAGGAGAAAAGCCCAGATGTGTCGACATGTGCCCTCCAATCTTTTTTTCAAGATGTTATTTATTTGTTTGGGAGAGAGAGAGCACATAAGAGAGCAGAAGCAGGGGGAGCAGCAGAGGGAGAGGGAGAAGCAGGCTCCTCCCACCAAGCAGGGAGCCCAATATGGGGCTCCATCCCAGGACTCTGGGATCATGACCCCAGCTGAAGGCAGCAGTTCAAGCAACTGAGCCACCCAGGCACCCCGTGTGCCCTCCAATTTTTAAGAGACAAAAGTCACAGCAGATAAAATGTGCAGAAGCATAACACCTGGGAGAGGGCACAGGGAGGGCGGGGGCTGGATGTCACGTTTTGTTTTGCACTGCGTTTGCTCTGAAAATTCATCAATTTCTAGACTTCGGATTTGTGTCCTATTTGGGGTTCAGGTTGTACATAAGTAAATTAAAAGAGAAAAAGTTCAGGGCGCCTGGGTGACTCAGTCGATTGGAAGCCCGCCTTCGGCTCAGGTCATGATCCCGGGATCCTAGGACTGATCCCTGCTTTGGGGTCCCAGCTCAGCAGGAGTCTGCTTCTCCCTCTCCCTCTGGGCCCTCCAACCCGCCTAGCCCCATTCATGCTCTCTTTCACTCTCTCCAATAAATAAATAAAGGCTTTTAAAATAATAAAAGGAAAAAAATTCAAAAAGAGTTCTCCAACTCCGCCGCTGGCAACAATGTAAATCAGGGAGAACAGGGCAGTGGCTGTCCTTGTCTGAGAACCAACGTCTGTCTCACCCATGTGACGCCCACCTGAAATGAGTCACTTCCAGGGCAAGGGAGAGCAGATGGCAGGCAAAAAATGCCCTTGGCGTTCCAATCTCAGCTCCACCACTCCCAAGGTATGCCCTTGGGCAGGCCGATGTGCACAAGCGTGCCTCAGTGTTCTCATCTCTGAAATGGGAGCATTGAGAACCCCTATCTACTAGCACCATCATGCATTACAGGCGCCTGGATGTGAGGAATCATCAAGCCAGGCCAACGGAGAAGCTGCGGGATATCCACTCTCTGCTTGATCCTGCCTCAGGATCCTGCCTCAGGGCCTTCGCATCTGCTGTTCCCTCAGACTAGGACACCCTTCCCCAGAGAGCCGCATGGTCTCCACATTGCCTCCTTTAGGTTTCAGCTCAGATGTCACTTCCTCATCAAGGTCAACCTTGGCCACCCTGCTTAAAACTGAAGCCCACTCCCCCACACTCCCTGCGTTCTTCTCCTTCCAACTCCTCCTTCCCCGATACTATAGATCTACCAACTTACTTCGTTGAGAATGCGTCGCTTGCCCCCTGAGTCAGACCACTAAAACAGGGGTGTTCGCTTGTCTCGTTCACAGCTGCGTCTAACAACAGGCACACAGGAGGCATTTAATAAATGCTGACCGATGGGATCAATCAACGAACGGACCCGAGAACCCCTGGCACACAGTGAGCGCTCCATAAATGTTTCCTGCTGAATCTTCTCCCCAGCCAGACAAAAAGTCTAATCGGCTCCCACCAGGACCAGCGCAGAGTCGAAGCACCATTCTCTGCTTTTGGCTTATTAAGAAATGTTACAACACGATATAGAAGGCAAAGCACAGCCAGACTCTCCCTGAAAACTATGGGACCAGAGGGAAATTTGCTCACAAGGAGTCTGCTGAGCACTTACTAGGCAGCGGGGACAGGATGAAGCACCTGGGAACATTAGAAGTTAGGGCTGTTTGGAGACGCCTGGGTGGCTCAGTGGGTTAAAGCCTCTGCCTTCGGCTCAGGTCATGGTCTCAGGGTCCTGGGATCCAGCCCCACATCGAGCCCCACATCAGGCTCTCAGCTCAGCAGGGAGCCTGCTTCCTCCTCTCTCTCTGCCTGCCTCTCTGCCTACTTGTGATCTCTGTCAAATAAATAAATAAAATCTTTAAAAAAAAAAAAAAAGAAGAAGTTAGGGCTGTTTGGACTGCCCCTCTGCACTCCGGAAAAGGGAGGCACAGAGAGGTAGAGACACTTGCCCTGGGTCACACAGGTGGAAAGTAAGGAGGCAAAGATTGAAACCAGGCAGCCTCGCTCCAGGGAATCCGCCCTTATTCAGTGAGTACCGACTCCGTGGGGCCCCTTCCCGGGCCAGCGGAGAAGCCGCGGGATACCCACTCTCTGCTTCCGGCACGCATCACCACGACCCATCACGGTTCTTGCTTATCGAAGGCACCACTCTGCCCCTGGTTCTTCAAAAATGTTTGCAGAAGGATGAGTACACACCCCTATCCAGAGGAGGAAACGGAGGCCCAGGCGGGAGCCCCCTGCACCCACCGACCCACCCCCGCAGCCTGGAACCCACACCCGGGACCTCCAGCTTGCCTAGGAGTCACAACCGCGCCCCCTCCCCGACCTCCCCTACCTCCTCCTCCTACTTCAGCCACAGGGAAAGGGAAGAAACGGCGGGCGGGTGGGGGGGTCCCGTAAGGATCTCCTGGGGCCCCCAACTCTGAGTGGTGACGGCAGCCAGCACTGGGCCGACCGGCAACGGCTCCTAGACGGGGAGAAGCCGACCCCAAACCCCAGCGGAAGGGGCGAGGCGTGGGGCCTGGAGATTCTCGGATCTTCTCTGATGGGGACTGGAGCAGGGGAAAGCACGCTCCTGACGCGGGAGGGGGTCCCGGGAGCCCCGCGAAAAGTGGATTGGGGCCCGGAAGGAGCTGGGGTGAGGGGCGGCGCAGGCGGGGCAGGAAGAAGGTGGGGCGCGAGTCTCCGAGCTCGGGAGAAATTCCTGAAGAAGTTAGGAGCAAACGCGAGCGCGCGCGCGCGCGCGTGGAATAGGGAGGTGGGGGGAGGGGTACTGGAGAGGAATCCGGGGTGTTGGGGCGAAGCACCGGACCTTGGGGAGAAATCCCGGCTGCCAGGGAGGGATTCTGGGTGGGGTAGGGATCTGGGGAGCTGGAGAGAAACCAGTGGCGTTTGGAAGGAACTGGGGTTTGGGGAGGGACCCAGGATGGTGGGAAGGAATCCGAGGGGGTTGGGCGGTCTTCGAGGCGTCGGAAAGGAATTCAGGGTGCTGGGGAGAGATCTGGGGTGCTGGGGAGCAATACGGCGAGGAGGAATCGGGGTCTGGGAGGAAGGACCAGGGCCACCCGGGAGGGGAGCCAAGCGCTGAGGGGCGCGAGGGCTCCTGGAGCCGGGCAGGGGGTGCGGCTGGTCTAGAACCCCAGGCAGGAGCCGCAGCCTCCCCGGCCCTGCTCGGCCGGCTCTCCCCGCTTTGCCACCTACCCGGGGTCCCGCTCCATCGATCTTCTGCGCAGGGGCTGGCGGCCTGGCGACGGTGCCCGCGGGTGGCGGGGCGCCCAAGACGCGAGGGCGGCTCCCCCCCCCCACCACCCCTGGCATCCGCCCGCCACTTCCGCGTCCGGCGGGGAGCGAGGCAGGAAGGTGAGATCACACTTTCCCCACCGGGCGGGGAAAGTCCCGGAGGCGCCCAGCTGCGACACCCCGAGCGCCCCCGCGAGCTGCCATCTTCGGGGACTTTGGATCCCTCCCGCCGGGGCTCTGGGGACCACCAGAAGGGCAGAGCCCTGCTCTCCGCGCGCCCGCCGTCTAGGGAGAGAGTAAATACAATTTAAAAAGTAGACCATCTCGGGACGCCTGGGTGGCTCAGTGGGTTAAAGCCTCTGCTTTCTGCTCAGGTCATGATCCCAGAGTCCTTGGATCAAGCCCCACGTCAGGTTCTCTGCTCAGCAGGGAGCCTGCTTCCCCCGCCCCCCGCCCCTGCCTGCCTCTCTGCCTACTTGTGATCTCTGCCTGTCAAATGAATAAATAAGATCTTTGAAAAAAAATTAGACCGTCTCAACTGGTGATAATGCTTTCCACGGAACAGAACAGGGGGATAGGGTAATATTGGGGGGGGGCTACCCGAAATCGGCCACCCTGGAGGGCTTTGGGGATCCGCAGGTGGCTGGAAGAGGGGCAACCGAGATGGCATATTTTGAAGCTGCAAACACATTTAAAAATTCATAAGGGGTCCTAAACTTTTGGGGTCCCGGATCCAGCCCCCACATGTCCATTGGGCATAGTTAAAATGTGGGACCATCACACTTTTAGGGACCCATGAAAACGTTTTCATTTCTTTTCAAATCAGAAAGAAAACAATGAATATGGTTCATCCCGGATTATATCTGCCCTTATACCAACATGGTTGTAAATATAATTTGTATTCGTTTATTTATTTTCACGGACAAGGACCTAGGAAAGTCAATGCCTTTGACCAGGTTTCTTGGTCAGTTTGGAGAAGCTCAGAGTATGTTCCCAAAATACCATTTGTAGATGTGTAAAACGATATACAAGAAGTTTCTAGGAAGTCCATTATGTTGAAATACATCTATTAAGATATTTTTGGGGGGTGCCTGGGTGGCTCAGTGGGTTGGGCCTCTGCCTTCGGCTCGGGTCATGCTCTCAGGGTCCTGGGATCGAGCCCTGCATCGGGCTCTCTGCTCAGCGGGGAGCCTGCTTCTCCCTCTGTCTGCCTGCCTCTGCCTACTTGTGATCTCTCTCTCTGTGTCATATAAATAGATAGAATCTTTTAAAAAAATAAAAAATAAAGTATTTTTTTAAAAAATGACTTAGTGATCCATTATCACTAAATGGATAAACACAGTGTGATCCATCCATACGTGGGAATATTACTCAGCCTTCAAAAAGAAGGAAATCGGCTATCTGCTACACAGTGCATGGACCCTGAGAACACTTTACCCAGTGAAATCAGGCAGACCCAAAAGGACAAATCCTCTCTGATTCCACTCATAGGAAATTCCTAAAGAGTCAAATTTATAGAAACAGGAAGTAGATGGTGGGAGCCAGTGGCTGAGGGAGGGGTCAGGGAGTCCATGTTTCATGGGGACAGATGTTCAGTTTGGGAAGATGGAAAGTTCTGGACGGAGGGTGGGGTTGCTTGCATGACAATGTGAGGGTGCATGGTGCCGGGGAGCTGTGCGCTTAGAGATGGTTAAAGTGGTTAATTTCATGTTAAGTATATTTACCACAATTTTAAAAAATTGTGTTTAATACTTGTAAGATAATCACTTTAAAATCTTTTCAAATAGAGCTACGCTAAAACAAACAAGCCTTCGGGCTATGCCTTTATTTTTACCACCACATTAACTGACAAAATCTAATAACCACAGGTGTCTGCCATATTTCCAGGTGTTTGTACCAAAGCAATCAAATATGAAAATATCTGTGAGTTTCTACTGGGGACAAGGTCACAAGCCCTGCCGGTGCCTTCATTCATAATTGAGGAAATGGCAAGTATCGGTCAGTGAAAATAAAGACGTGATTTTTTTCCCCCCATTACTTCATGAATTCCATCATCAGGTTCCCAAGAGGTCCGTGGGACGAGCACAGACTGAAGTTTGTGTCAAGACTCATGAGAGCGGGGCGCCTGGGTGGCTCAGTTAGTTAAGCAACTGCCTTTGGCTCAGGTCAGGATCCCGGAGTCCCGGGATGGAGTCCCGCATTGGGCTCCCAGCTCCATGGGGAGTCTGTTTCTCCCCTCTCACGCTCTCTCTCACTCTCAAAAAAATAAATAAAATCTTAAAAAAAAAAAGAGTCATGAGAGCAGGAGCAAATGGAAGTAGAATGAGTGCTAATTCCTCCCCACCTAGTGTACTTACTTAGTGTGTGTCTCTGGTGAGAGAGAAATTTTATTGAGCACCTACTGTCAGCCAGGCACGTCTAGGCTCTGGGGATCCACTGGGGAGGAAGAAAGAAGTGGTCCCTACTTTCAGGGCCCCTGAGCTAGGGAGGGAGAAGGCATTAAGCCCATCTTTTTTTTTTTTTTTTAAGATTTTATTTATTTATTTGACAGAGAGAGATCACAAGCAGGCAGAGAGGCAGGCAGAGAGAGAGGAGGAAGCAGGCTCCCCGCTGAGCAGAGTCCGATGCGGGGCTCGATCCCAGGACCCCGAGATCATGACCTGAGCCAAAGGCAGCGGCTCAACCCACTGAGCCACCCAGGCGCCCCTTAAGCCCATCTTTTGCCTCTTGGGTACCCTACCATTGTCCCACCATCTCCAATTTTTGGAGTTACATTACATACTGGCCCCCACACCAAATACATCTTGGGGAACATCAACCTGTGTTTTAAAATAGCCTCCCAAGGGGATTGGAATGTGCCCATTTTATAAGTGAGAATACTGAGGCTCAGAGAGAGTGACATGGAGGGGGCATCCAGGCTTCCAGGGGAAACCCTGAGTTGCAGATGAGGAAATCGGAGTGCCTGTGATGGTCTCACTAAGCATGACTGTGTCACACCTTACTGCGTCCCCAGTCGCTGGACACACCACTTGCTTCCACCATTCCTCAGGACACAGGAGTCACCACCTTCTAAGGTGGTGATTGTGAACACCAGGCAGGGCATGTCTGAGTGCTGGGTTCAAATCCTCACTCCGACACTTTATAGCTGTGAGGTGGGGCCGAGGGTGAGCCGTCTGAATTGTGCCTCAGTTTCCCTCCCCTGTAACCTGGAGATGCTAACAGGACCTGCCTTGTGGTGTCAATGAGAGGCTTAAGTGACTCAGTGGGTGGGGTTTCTCTAGGATGGTGTGGAGAAGGGGAACTTCTCAGACTTCTCTCCAGACATGGAGAACATACATTCTCACTCTTACTAAATACTGCCCAACTGTTCTCCAAATTAGCACTCTCCACTTACACTCCCACAGGAAGTGAACACAAGGGCTCATTTCCCCCATCACCTCCTATGTCGCTTTCTCCTTCAGAATTTGTATTGAAGGAGAAATTGTAGACCCTAAAGAGTGTAAATTTCGACCGGACGGCTCAGTGGACTTTCACATCCATATACACTCCCTGTGGCCAACATGCAGATTGAGACACATATACGTCATTTCCAACCCCTGGAAAGCTCCATGGGCAACGCTCGTCTGATTTCTTTCACCATAGCCGAGCTTGTGTTTTGGAACTTCGCTAACACGGAATCAGAGTCTGGGTTCTCTTGGGTCTGGTTTCTTTTGCTCAATATGGCACCTGTGAGTTTCACCCATGATGTTGCTCTGGACCTTAAAAAACGAAACAGCCAGTTATTTTACCCGCAAAATGAGCTTATTCAGGGATAGCAGAGGAATCGCAATTTCGGATGGCAAGACATGGCAAATCATAGCCAATGCCAGACAACAAAGGGGAGGAGGAAGCTGGGAGGGAATGCTTTGACGCAAAGTCCATTGGAGGAGGAGAAGTCATCGGGAGGACGGCATCTCACGGAGTTGTGGTGGTCTCTCATTGGCTGAGTGGTGGTGGTTCCTCATTGGCTGGCTGGGCCGTTGCTGGGCAGGAGAAAATCTTTCTCCTGCTGGAGTAGTAAAGTAGGCTTATTTCTGCCCAACGTTCCTGTGTGAGTGCTCCCCCTTTCTGGGTTTTCTGACTCCATTCTACTTTTTTTTTTTTTAAGACACATATTGTTTTTTGTTTTTTTTTTTAAGATTTTATTTATTTATTGTACATGGAAAGAGATCACAAGTAAGCAGAGAGGCAGGCAGAGAGAGGAGGAAGCAGGCTCCCCGCTGAGCAGCCCCTGATGCGGGGCTCGATCCCAGGATCCTGGGATCATGACCTAAGCTGAAGGCAGAGGCTTTAACCCACTGAGCCACCCAGGCGCCCCTCTGACTCCATTCTAGATGAGGTTTCTCTTAATTAATTTTTTAAGGTTTTTCTTTTTAAGCAAATATTTGATTTAAACAAAATATTTTATTTATTTAGACTCCACACCCAGTGTGGGGCTTGAACTCATGACCCCAAGATCAAGAGACCCCAGCCCCACTGACTGAGCCAGTAGGCACGTCTTTATTAATTTTCATATTTTGAAGATTGGTAATTTATCCATGGTTCTTTGCTGCGTAATATTCCACCATATGAGTCTCTCCCAGTTTATTCGTCTACTCTGTTTTGGATACAAAGTTGAGTTTGGGACTATTAAGAATAAAATGGCTGTGAACATTTGAGGTCCTTTTTGTGGACATCTGACCACACCGAGCTTGGGTATCAACTCAGAACAGGAGTGCTAGAACAAGGAAGGTGTCCCAGGTTGTTTTGTTTTTGTTTCTCCCAGGTTGTTTTTTAAGTAAAGATTTATAAACGTTTGTCCAAACCCAGAGCCCTGGGAGAAGGTGACAGCATCCCACTTTGCTGATGAGAAAGCATAGAGGGTCATTTTAGTTCTCTAGTGGGGCTGGAGGGAGACCCTCAATCCCCCTCCTCACGCCTGTGTCTTGGTCGGGAAGAGACATTGTACTGGTCCATCCCACTGCACCAGCACCAAGCATTTTTTCCTGCCCCCCCCCAAACCGCCACTGTTACCCTCTGCTGGAGGTGTACCCACACCCTTAGCCCTAGTAACATGAGCGTGAAACACACTGCAGCTTTTAAGTACTGGGAAAAATATTCTTGTCTGAGCAGTGAGACATGACAAAAAGGGGTCAAGCAAGGGCTGGCAAGCTTTCCCTATAAAGGGTCAGGTAGTATTTTAGGCTTTGGGGGCAGTCTTTGTTGCATATTTTTGTTCCCTTTAACACCCTTTAAAAATGAAAACTTTTGGGGGCGCCTGGGTGGCTCAGTGGGTTAAGCCTCTGCATTCGGCTCAGGTCATGGTCTCAGGGTCCTGGGATCGAGCCCCGCATGGGGCAGGGAGCCTGCTTTCCCCCTTTCTCTGCCTGCCTCTCTGCCTACTTGTGATCTCTCTCTCAAAAAAAAAATCTTAAAAAAAAAATGAAAACTTTTCTGGGGCACCTGGCAGGCTCAGTAGAGGACTCTTGATCTGGCGGTTACAAGTTCAAGCCCCCTATTGGGGGTAGAGCTCACTTAAATAAATAAAGGAAAAAGTAAACTTTTCTGAGCTCTTGGTTCAGGCAAACACACAAGCAAACAAATAGCCCTTTGGCTTGTGAGAATTTGTGCTTTGGGTCTAAATCATTTTGCACAGCGACTGCACGTAGAAAGTATTCACTACCAAGTTTGAGAGGCAGGTTTTCTGGTGTGTATCTAATTTTGAATTTGTGATTGCATCTGCTTATCTGCTTATTCTCATATTGCCCCAAAGTGTTGAACCTTTTTTTTTTTTTTTAAATTAAGATATACTTGGAAGAGAGCACAGTATTCCTTTTAGGTGGAGAATATAATGATTTGATAGGGGTTTATGTTGCCCATAAGTCTAGTGGCCAGTAGCCTAGTACGTGTCTGTCCCAGCCAGTTGTTTCTCTTGTGATGGGAAGGGTTCAGGTCTACTCTCTTAGCAACTTTGAAGTTCACGATACGGTGTTGATTACAGTCACAACGCTGTTGTTACATTCCCGGGATTGGTTTCTTTTCTATCTGGGATCTGTACCTTTCAATTCCCCTCACCCACTTCCACCCTCCACCCACAATGTTTAATTTTCAGATCCAGGAAAAGCGGATACAGCCAACTCTTTTCACCATCTACTTTATGTATGTCCAAACACACACGAGGCATTAACAACAGTGAGCGTGGGGGTCGCGGGTGACAAAGGGACTGTGCCAAGCCCCTTCTATCCACCAGGCAGAGGCTTTTTTTTTTTAAGATTTTAATTTATTTATTTGAGATTGAGTGAGTGAGCAGGAGAGTGGGGTGAGGGGCAGAGGGAGAAGCGAGCAGGAAGCCTGACGCAGGACTCCATCCCAGGGACTCTGGGATCACGACCTGAGCAGAAGGCAGATGCTTAACCGACTGAGCCACCCAGGCACCGTGGAGAGGAGGCTTTTCATACCCACTCTGCTGAGGCTCAGAGAGGTGACCAGGCCAAGTCCCATGGAAAGGGGCAGAGCTGAAATTTACAGAATCTACGTCATTATACGCTGCTCTCTAGGGTCTCCCCAAGCCAGGCTGGGATCTTCTCATATGTGTTTTCTGGACAAGTTGCTGGAGTGAGCTAAGCAGGCGAGAGGAGCATTTAAGACCCCAAAGGGTCCAGCTCCTAATGGGGGAGACCAAGGAGAGCGCAAGGCTGCTCACAGAATTCCCAACCTCCAGGAAAATGCCAAGGTCAAGATCAAGTGTACAGGAGACCTGTCTTGCCTTCCCCTGTACCTGCCATCCCTCCCTCCGCCCTCCCCACTGGCAACCTGGCCACCCACGTCCCCCACATTTGACACATCAAGAGCCCAAGAGTTTGCAAAAGACAAGACCCTCCCACCTCCCCCTTTATTTTATCCCAGGACCATCGACATTACTTTTTTTTTTTAACATAAAGAAAAGCCTGCAGTCTCTCATCTGTCGGAACGGGAACCAACATATCAGATGCGACCCATGACAAGCAACGGTCCTCTAACGACATCACGAGGACTTTGTGAGAGAATGGGAGAGAACGTGTTTAAAGCCACGAAGTTAGCGCTGACTTGTCACAAAGCAAGAGCTAACCAGTACACCCCATTTGCGGAGGGAGCCATGGAGGAGCAGTGGGGCTGGTGGGGCAGCCCATCTGCTGAGCTCCTCCGGCAAGTCGGGGATGCACACAGGAAGACATGAGCCCAGACCCACCTGCCAGACCCTTACTGACCGGGAGACTTCGAGGACGATTGGACTACTACCTGCCTCAGTTTCCCCATCCACAAAATGGGAAGCTCAGTGAGAGGGTTTGAGATGAGGCTGGGACATCGGCCGGGGGCTCAGAGCAGCGCCTGGGGGCTCAGAGCAGCACCCGGCTCCTAGCCATACCCAATGCTGGCTTGGCACTGTGCAGAAAGAGATTTGCTCCCTGACAGATTAGGGGGCCTGTATGGGGAATCTCGGGGACTCATTAAAGCAAAAAAGACAAAAAAAGAAGTGTTGGGGGCAAAGCCAGCTGACTTGGTGGTTCTCCCCAGGGGCCCATGTCTGAGGAAACCCGTGTTGGTCACCGCTTGGGGGAGGGGGAGTGCCCCTGACATCAAGTGTCTGGGGCAAGGTGCCCAGGGTGGTCCCCAGAAAAGCAACTCAGCCCCAACGTCACCGGAGCTGCGGGGGAGACCCTAAGAAAACCTAAGTACCAGGTTATTCAAACGCGCTGTCCTCCGCAATCTTTGCTCCAGGTCTGGGAGAAGCTGGCCTCGGATGATCACCCTGAAGGCTGGAGGGTCACTCACAAGGGGACCAGGGAGTGGGCTGGTACACCCATGCCCCATCCCAAGCTGGAGCACAGGACACCCGTCCTCGGTCGCGTGCAAGGGACAGGAGCAGGACTCTGCCATCAGGGGCGCACCGAGAGAGGCAAGCCCCCGTCCCGCAGTGTGCTCCCGGCCCTTCATCCGTAAAGCTGGGACACCTAACCCGCAGAGCAGAGGCGATTAAGAGGGTCGGTGTGTGAATCGAGTGGGACAGCCCTGGGCCAGAGTGGGCACAACGAAAGGATTCGGTTGCAGCGTTTTCTAAGGAGATGTGAGCACGGCAGTGGGCACACGGCCAGGCACAGAAGGGGATGGAACTTCCGAAAATCTCCAAGCTGGGGTCTGTCCGGGGGCAACCAAGAGTTCCCTGGGTCCGGGACAAGTCTCCAGGGGCGGCTCTAACAAGGAAGGCTGACTCAGAGGCTGAAAACACCACACACCTGTCACCTCCCAGTTCTGGAGGTCAGAAGTCTGAAATGAGCCTTACAGGGCTAAGACCAAGGTGCTGGCAGGACTGGATCCTTCTAGATGCTCAGGGTGGGGGGGATCCCATTTCCCTGACTTCTCCCACTTCTCCAGGCCCGAGATCCCTTCCCCCATCTTCAGGGTGGAGAGAACACCCACTCATCTCAAATCCTGACCTCTACCTCTGTCCTCATACCCTCTCCGACCCACCCTCCAGCCTCCCCCTCATAAGGAACCTCTTGATGACAGGAGGGCCCCCCACCCCAATCATCAGGACCATCCTGCCCCCATCTCCAGATCCCTTACTGAATCCCATCTACACGGTCCCCTCCGCCACCTGAGGGACCATAGTCACAGATCCTGGGGATCGGGACGTGGCCATCTTTGGGGGGCCACTTACCCACCCCTCCCCCCCACACCTAGGAAGGTCTGGGAAAAGTAGCCGGCCTTCTGCTTCTGCCAGATGCCCCAGGACACAGCACAGGGGCAAGGCTCAGGATGGGGGAGATGAACCCTGGAGCCCCACCCCAGGTCTGGCCCTGTCCAGTTCACATGCTTGTGAACAGAGCAGGGAAGGGGCCAAGAAGGCCATACAGAGACCCTTGCACTGCCCAGCTCTTGGGGGAACACGCGTGAGCGAGCGCGCACACACACACACACACACACACGTGCACACGGCCCACACTTAGCTGCACGTAAAATTTATTAAGGCAATGCCGAAGCCTCCAGCGCCTACAGCCAGTCAGGCCGACCTCAACCCCCATCTGCTCTAGGACGGGCCACAGCGGCTCTGCCTCCATCCCATCCCCCACTTCAGAGGCCAGAAGTCCCAAGCCGTTAGTTAAAGGCTGCTATCCAGGGGTGTGATTTAGAAAAGGAGGCTGGGATAGAAGAAATCTGTCCCCGATTTTTTAAGAAAAAAGAAACCAGAGAGACTGAGGACCTCCTAAAAAGCATTTTTTTTCTCTGGAAACTTCCCCGATGACCAAGGAGGTGAGGATCAGGCCGTGCTGCCTCTGAGCGCAGGGAGGGGGAAGGACGGGTCAGTTTCCCACTTCCCAGGGTGTTAGCTGAGATGGGCTGGGGGGAGGGGTGGGGGGGGCGCAGGGCTCCGGCCGGCCCCTCCGGGAGAGACTAAGTCCCTCCCGCCTCCTCCTGCCCGTCCTACTTCTTCTCTTCCGGGGCTTTCTCAACGATACCTGGGGCGAAGGGTCCCACCAGCCACGTGATGGGCGTGTTCTGGGCCACGTACTCAACCATGTGGTCAAGGGCTTCTCGGGCCTTGGCCACCTGCTCCCGGCTCTGCGTCAGGATCGCACTGGAAAGGTCCTGGAAGGAATGGATGCCCGCGAAGGTGGCCTGGAGGTCCTCCACGTGGCGGCGGGCCTGCTGCACCTGGTCCTTCACGTGGCTGGGCAGCCCCTGGATGCTGGAGCCCAGCGAGGCACAGGTGCTCTGCAGCTGCTGTGTGACGTCTCGGAACATGGTGAGCGTCCGGGTCTCCACCTGCTGAGAAGGGGCGGCGGATCAGGACCGCGCGCTGGGGGCAGCTGGAGCCCAAGCCGGAGCCGGGAGAGGAGCCGGGGCTTCTCCCGCTGACCTCCCAGAGAGCCCTTCCCTGCTGTGTCTGGGACACCAGCTCTTCTGAGTTTGGAACCACGCGACCGATGCACCGAAGTGGGAAAGAGGTGGAGGCATCTTTCCCCAGGTCCGCTGTTAGCAGCAGCCCACAAGCACAGCAGGGTTCAACTCCGCCAGCCGTCGGGGAAACGGGGGCAGGCGCGCCAGGAGGCGTCACCTCGCGCCCGCGAGGATGCGCGGGATCAAGAAGTGACAGGTGTTGGTGAAGATGGGGAGGACCCGGGGGGCCCCGGACGTGGTGCAGTCACTTTGGAAGACAGCCTGGTGGTCCTTCCAACTGTCCAACCTCCGAGTTGCCAATAGTCCAGCAACTCCCCTCCTAGGGATCCCCCCACCCAAGAAAATCAGAGACGCACGTCGTACAAGGCTGGTTCATCAGGCATTGTCCACAGGAGGCAAAGTGGAGGTCACCCGTACGTTCATCACCTTGTAAACGGGTAAAAACACATGACCCACCCACGCACGGGCGCGTCCCACAGCTGCGGGCACAAGTGAGGCGCCCACACGTGCTGCCCTAGGGACGGACCCCGAGCCCACGATGCGTAGGGAGGGAACCAGACACAGAAGGCCACATGGGGAGTGAGTCCACGGGTGTGATACGCCCAGAGCAGGCTCCTCCACAGACAGGAAGGGGGCTCATGGGGCCAGGGGCTGGGGAGGGGAAAGTGACTACTGATGGGGACAAGATCTCCTTTCGGGTTGGCGGGAATGTTCCAAACGGGTCACGGGGACGGTCTCACAACCCTGCAAATACACTAAAAACCACTGAATTGGGGCACCTGGGTGGCCTTCGGCTCAAGTCATGATTCCAGGGCCCTGGGATCAAGCCCTGCATCGGGCTCTCTGCTCAGTGGCGAGCCTGCTTCCCCCTCTCTCTCTGCCTGCCTTTCTGCCTGCTTGTGATCTCTGTCAAATAAATAAATAAAGTACTAAAAAAAAAACCCACTGAATTGTACAGATGGGGGACTTTAGAGTCTGTGAATTGTATCTCAGTAAAACTTTTTTCTTAAGTACAAGACACTGCACTTTTTATCTCCACTTTAAAGGTTTTTTTTTGTTTTTTGTTGTTGTTTTTAAAAAAGAGGTCTGGGAGAACCTTCCAGGCAGAAGTCATACGTGGTGGGAAGGACCGCAGTGTCCATGTGCAAATTGGGACCTTAACCTCCCTCCCCCATAAGAGGGCAGGCTGGGCGGCAGGACGTTGCCCGCACACGTGACAGAGTGCTCTGGACTTGGAACCTGGCAGGGAATTGCTGACCAGAGTCAACATCCGCAGCTCCTGGGGCCGTGCTCGGCAGTGGGGGGAGGGAGACGGTTTGGGGTGGTTTGGGTCTGAAGGCTAACCGTGTGCACCGATATTGGTGCTACCTGTGTGTACCTCGATGTGTAATGCTGTGTGTACGTGACAGAGGAACTCAACTTTTTCACACAGGAGTGTAACCGTGAGCGAATTCGCCCTTTTAAGTGTGCGATTCCATAGTTTCTCGTATATTCGCAAGGTTGTGCAAACCACCACCTCCACCTCCAGAACATTCCATCACTCCCCGCAAAGAAACCTCATCCCCACGGAGCAGGTGGCTCATCCCCACGGAGCAGGTTCGGTGCCCCGAACCCTGAGACCGAGGGACATTCATAATGGGGCGCGAGAGTCACATAAGGTGTTGACTCAAGGCAAGTCTCCACGAGTGACGAGTGACGGCAGAGGCGGTGAAAGACAGGGCGCGGCAGGAGAGGCCAATGCCTGGGACGATGGGACGGACCAGAGGACATTAGCGAGAAGTCGTCACAAGGAGCCAGGCAGGGGAGTAGGGAGGGCTCAGTGACGCCGGGATAGGGGAGAAGGTGAAAGAGATGTGGCTTAGAATTTTGGCAGGTTGAGAGGCGTCACTGTCAAGTGTACCACAGTTCAGAAGCAACACCCACACCCAAGAGAGGAAATCTAGGTGGGCTTCCTGGAGGAGGTGCCGGTGTGTCCTGAAGGCAGTGAATGGGAGGAGAGGCTGAGGAGTATTCCACACAGTAAGTCCATCCAGCAGGGGCATGGAGAGGGAAGTCAGGGCCCTAAGCATCCCATGTGTCCCCCAAGCTGGTACCTCTAGTTTGGCCGGATTCGCCTCCGTGCCCTGGAGCTCCTTCTGGTTCCAGTTGAGCCACATCTGGTGTAGTTTCTCCTGGCCCTCCACCAGTTTCTGATCGACTCCTTGCTTGACGTTTTCCATCTGAGACAAGAGAACAAGGAGAGAAAGGAGTGAGAGCCGGACACAGGAGGAGAGCGGCTGCCTCCAGTGCCTGACCAGGGCCAGTAGAGCCCGTGCACGTCCCAGGAGCAGCCCACAGCACCCTCCTCCTATCCAAGATGAGCTGGTACGCGAAGGAGAGGAAGGCGGGAGGGATGCTGTTCTCAGAGGCTTTGCACAGCTACGGTTTCATCACCATCGTGCGTGCAAGAAGTGGCCAAAATTCTCTGTAGCTCCTACCAGTCTGTCTGGCACAAGGAGAACCCGACGGAATCCTTGTGCCTGCCTGGGCCACAGGACTGGCTCTGGCCAACAGAACGTAAGCAGGAAGAACATAGGCAGGACCTTAAAGTGCTCCAGTGCAATGTTCTTCAGCCCTAAAAAAGAAGGGACCCTCACCCCTGCCACCACGATGTGGAGTGACCCAGAGGACACGGGGCTCAGCGAGAGGAGCCAGACCCAGAAGGACCCGTCCCGCAGGACCCCACTCCCAGGAGGTCCCCAGAAGAGTCCCATCCGCACAGACAGAGAGGAGAGGGTGGGAGCCGGAGCGGGGTGGGGAGTCCGTGCTTCGTGGGGACAGAGTCTCCATGTAGGGAGATGGAATGTTCTGGAAACGGATGGTGAGGATGGTTGCATGACAGTGTGAGTGTGCTTCATGCCACACCGAGCTGTGCACTGGAAATGCTTACGATGGAACATTTCTCGCTGTGTGTAGTTCACCCCCAATGAGAAACTGACAGAGAGAGGGGCGAGAGCTGAGCGGAGGAGGCTAAGCGAAGAGGCAGGCGGCAGGAACTCAGCTCTTTCCAGAAGAGACAGAGATCTCTGGGCAGGGGCAGGATGTGACAGCGGAGAGAAGCTTCCCGGGTGATGGCATCCATTCCACATCTGGACTGCGGTGCTGGTTACGTGTCTGTTTCTATTTGTAAAACTCCCCAAACCCTACGCTTAAAAACGGGCGATTTGGGGGCTTTAAACAGAACCGCCACCAAAACGCATCTCACGCTCAGGGGTTCATGCTCTTGCCATACGCTGGTCCCTCGGACCACAGCTGGGAGGGCCTCCGCCGGCCAGTCCTGTGGTCGTGGGCTGAACTGCATCCCCCCAATTCCTATGCTGGAGCCCTGACACCCCACCCGGCGAGCTGGCAGACAGCCCCTGTCGCCCCCCACCAAGCGGTCCAGGTGTGCGGTCCCGCCCAGGCGGAGATGCACAGGGGTGGGGGGGGGGGGCTCACCAGGCTGAGCGCCTGCGCCAGCAGCACCAGCGCCTCCTGCGCCCGCTGGCGCGTGAGCTGCAGTTTGCCCAGCGAGTGCGCGTAGGCCCGCTGGCGCAGCCGCTCCGACAGGGAACCCAGGCGCACGAAGTAGCTCTGCTCCTGCCGCTGCTGCTGCACCGACGCGATGTCGAAGCCCTCCAGGGACGTGGCGAGGCGGGCTGCGGGGAGGAAGCACGAGAGACGGCGTCAAGGCCGGGATGTGGAGGCGGCAGCAGCAGCTTCCGCTTGCGGGCCGGGGGGGGCGGGGACCGCGCCCAGGCGGGGTGCACACATGGGTTCCTGGCCCACGCAGGCTTGCCCACACGCTGCTGAGGGTTCTCCGTCCCAGGGCTGCCGCTCGCAAGCTGGGAAGCCTTGCACCAGAGTCCCCGGCCTTGGTTTTCCCCATCCGCGAAATGGGTATGCTGGGAACCGACGTGGCCAGGATTAAGCGTGTGAGTCTGCAAACCAAGGCCCTCAGGCCACATCCGCCCAGCCTCCAGTTTTGCACCAAGCTGGGGCACAGCTCTGCTGGTCAGTTATATACGTCTACACCCGCTTTCAAACTACAGTGGTGGAGTGTGTGGCCTCTTGGCCTGTGGACACTGAAATATTCACTATTTGCTCCTTTGCAAAAAAAAGCTGGCCAGTCCTGTATTAGCACCCCGCACCTATTACATGGCCAACCTTTCACAAGGTTCTAGGTGCTTCCTCCACTGTTCTCTTTAAACCTCAACAACTCCATAAGGGAGGCACCGTTACCCCGTTTTTACAGACAAGGAAACAGGGACTTGCAGGGGAAGTGACTGCCTAAGGTCCCACAGCCGGGCAATGGCAAGTCAGGATTTGAAGCCAGGCCTTCTGACACCATGTTATTAACCCTAATACTTGCCGGGGGCAGGTCTGAGCCACATGAGAACTGTCTTAACAGCAGGTAAAGGAAGGACTATCTAGTCCAGAGAGAGCCCGTGTCATTCCAACAGGGCAGGATGGAAACTGCCCATTCTGATTTTATCCTAGCGGATCTGCTCCTTTTCAACTTTAACAGAATAGGTATAAGTTTGAGTTTTGTAAATAACTTGATAAGGATTTGACTCCAGACCTCCTGACTAATGCCCTAGAGCAGGGGTCTGCAGACTGCGGCCCCCAGGCCGAATGCCACCTGTCTCTATAAATAAAGTTTTATTGGCACACAATCACACCCATTCATTTACCTCTCCTCTGTGCTTCTGTGTTAACAGCAGACTTAACTAGTTGCAACAGAGACTGAGTGTCCCCCAAAGCCAAAAATATTTACTAACTGCTTAAGAAAACATCTGCCACTCCCTGCTCTACACCGAAGTGATTTTGCCAATAAGCCTCAGTTCCCCCCCTTCCCTATGACCACCAGAGTCCGAGCTGTCTGAATTGTGACATCTGGACCTCGTACTGAGAAAAGGAACCCAAATGAACATACGGTGTTTTTGTGATCAATTTATAGCAGATGGTACGGCGTCCTGTTTTCTGTAAGTGCTGAAGTTTCCTTTCTAAAAGAATCTGGAAAAGCCGATTTTTAAAAGTCTATCAAATACATACTAAGGAACATAGGACCAGGGTCCCACAGATGTGCCCCCCGTCAGGCAGGAAGAGCCTGGCTCTTCTGGGAAGTGAGCTCTCCACGCAGCCACCTAGTCCTAGTTCCGCATCTCTTTTGGCCGGCCACCGTTCCAGAAACACAAGCCAGGAAAATCAAGGAACGAAATCCCACAGGCAGTCCCTGAACTGTTGCTCAATCAAGGTAAGCCTTTAATCCGGGGATTTCAGTTGTTTCTATGAACATTACAAATCCCAGAAGAACATACTTCCAGAACATAACCCAGGGGTCACTAACCTTTTTCTGTACGCAGCCAGCCAGTCTGCGTTTTGGTCTGTGCAGGCAGTTATACCGCACCTCAATGCAAAAACACTCACAGACCACATGCATGCAAATGCGTGTGGCCGTGTGCCAATAAAACTTTATTTACAAATGCAAGTTGTGGGCCAGATGCGCCGTGGAGGTAGTCTGACCAGTCAGTCGGCTGGGGAAGAGGACGCCATGGAAGAATCATTTCACGATGACATTTAAAAAGAATGAAGCTCATATGTTCCCCCCACTAGACACCCCCCACCCCCCAAAACCACAAGCACCCCTACGTACAATGGTTCCACCCTCACCCTGCGGAAACAAGGAACCAATACAGAAGCAGGGTTGGTCAGAAGGATCTGTTCTCTGCAGTGGCCCCCCAGCCTGGCTCAGGACCTTCCTCCCAGCAGACCCTGCCTTCTTCCCTGCCTTCAGGGGCCAAGACCCACAGCTGGTTCTGCCTGGCTTCAGCACCGACCACGGGCCAGCAGCGCCCTTCTTTCGAGAGGCTTGGGTTCTGGACTCTCAAAGGACAAGTGACATGCCGTGCTCAAGCCACACGTTTCAGGGCTTTAGATCCCCAGCCCGCCTGAGACATCAAGTTTCTCTGGAGAGCAAAGGACCACCCCGTTCCCCGGAAGATTCCCAGGGAGAATCATGGACACTCAGAGCCAACCTGACGGGGGTCTCTGAGCAGCCAAAAGTAGCGGGACAAGAGAAAGGTCAATAAAGTGAGTGTGTAGGATTGGAATATGTCCTGTGAATCTTCGCACCCACACCCATAACATAAACTCCCACTACTGACAGTGGGCGAGGCTGGCACCCCAGCCCGTGATGCCAAAATAAACAGACGGGGTGGGGGGGCGGGCGCCAGGTGGCTCAGTCCTTAAGTGCCTGCCTTCGGCTCAGATCACAATCCCAGGGTCCTGGGATCCAGCCCCAAGACAGGCTCCCAGCTGGGCGGGGAGCCTCCTTCTCCCTCTCCCCCTGCTTGTGTTCCCTCTCTCGCTCTCTATCAAATAAATAAATAAAATCTTTAAATAAATAAATAACAAAATAAAGGGGGGAAGCCAGCTACCTGCCCTGGTTTTCCTCCACAATTTGCACCTGGGCTCATCCAAGCCTCCCCAGAGAACTCCCTCCAAGACAGTTTTCCAGCTACCGGAGAAAGAAGGGGCACTTAGAGGAGTGACATCTTGTGATCCCAATCCCAGTCCAACGAGGAAGTCGAGACCAAGGCGGAGGTGCTCACCCACCACGGAACCGCACGATTCCCTCTGCGCAAAGTTCCAGGGGAAGCAGGGCATTTCACCCGGGAGGGGTTGCAGGGCGGTGTCTGGGGACGCCTGTCCTGGTCACCCTGGGGGTGCTCCGGGGTATCGAGGGGGTGGGGCCAGGGACACTGCTCCACCCCTGCCCAGCACCCGGGACACCCCCACAAAGAATGACCCAGCTCCAAATGCCCACGGTGCTGCCCTCAGGAATCCCCAATCTGATCTGTCCTACAGCTCCTTCCAATTGTTCCAAATGTCTGGCTCCTTATCCAAACCAACCAACTCTGGCCAAAGTCAGATGGAGCGTGGCGTCTAGTTCACACGCAGCCCCATGGGCCCTTACTGCTATGGACACCAGAGTCTGCACCGCAACGTGGCCAAAGTCCCAAGAGCCACGGGTACGAGAGCCAATGGTGGGCCACACAGGACACTGCTTTGTCTCAACAGTTTCGTCCCCGGTTTGTCTATCTATTCCTGCCTCCACCTGGACCAGTCCCCACCACACCAGCAGGAGCCCAGCACAGTGCCCCCCACCCCGGTCCCAGTCCTGCCCTCAAACCCCAGTCCGCCCTCCCCTCAGTGGCCACCAGAGGACACCCATGTGCACACAAGTCAGGTCCGGGGGGCCTCTGCCCACAGCCCTCCAGGACTCCCACCTCCCTGGGGTAAAACCAAGTCCTCCCCTGGATCCCCCAGGCTGTGCACGACCTGCCCTGTCCCCCTCCCCAACTCCCACTGCCCACTCTGCCTTGCTATTCCTCTAACCCACCAAGCAGGTCCTGCCCCAGGACCTTGGTATTGCCACTTCTCTCCACCCTGACATCCACGCAGCTGCCTAGCTCGTTCGCTTGCTGTGCTCGTGGTCGTGTTACCTCCTCAGAAACATCTACCCAATCCTCTCCCCTCGAAATCTCTCCTTTAACCTGATTTCCTTATATTTTATACTGTGAGTTCCCCGAGGGCAGAATTCTGTCCACTGCGGTGTCCTCAAGACTTGGCCACACAGCCGATGCTCAAGGAACATCCGAATGGACAAATGCATGCCTGGGGCGGGGGGGGGGGGGGACAGAGAAGAGTCTGAATGCCTGCTGAGTGCCAGGCCCCATTCTAGACGTGGCAGCAACCAAGACAGTGCGCAGCTATTTTGTGGAACTGATGATGAGTGCCGGAGAGAAACAACAGAGCCCAGCCAGGAGGGGACGGGGGCAGGCCTCAGGACACAGTCTGGACAAGGGAAGGGGAGATCTGAGCTTCTCTGGGGAGGTGGCATCTGAGCAGAGCTGGAGGTGGAAGGGTGTCTAGGGAGAAATGATCCCAGTAGAGGGGAAGAGCTGATGCAAAGGCCCTGGGGTGGGAGCATGGTCAAGATCAGCAAGAAGTCAGGGTGGCTGGAGTAGAATGAAGGGAGGGAGGTAGATAAGTGCATGGAGGGTTCATGGGGAGGACTTGGGTTTCTACCCAACGGGAGGTGGGAGACCCCAAGGGCTGTGGGCAGGAGGACAGAACCAGGCTCTGGTGCTCACGGGGGCCCTCTAGTGGTTGCTTCAAAGAGAACAGACACTGGGGGCCAGGGAGGAGGCCACCGCACTCACTGGTCTGGGGGGCACTGACAAGGGGCTACAGCAAATCTGAGGGAGAGGTGGCAGGGTTGAGATGGCACTTAGGGACAGACCCCAGCTGGCTGGGTGGGGAGGTCTGGCAGGGGCGGGGGTGTCCGGGCACGAGGGCAGCACTCACCCAGCTCAGCATCCGTCATGGGCAGGTGATTGTCCACCCACTCCTCCGACTTGCCCAGCACCGTGTCCACCCCGCTCAGCACCATCTGGCCCACACGGGAGCCCATGACCGACTGGACGCCGCTGGTCACCGCGGACTTGGTAGCATCCACACCAGTCTGCACGGCACCCCGGGTCACATCAACTGCCCCCGACACTCGCGTGGCCACTGTGTCCTTGGCGCTGGACACGGCTTCTCGGGCCCCCGACACCTTGGACGAGACGAGCTCCTTGGTGTCGGCTAGAACCTACAACAAAGGCAGCGTCAGCATCTCTGTCCCCACCCCTGCACCCCAGCCTCCGAGGACCCCAAAGGAAGGAGTTCCCGTTCCTGGGTGACTCCCAAGGGTCAACGCGTGACCCAGCAGCGAAGACCTTGAGCTCTGGAGCTTGGGGTGAATCCTGGTTTGTTAGGTCCTAGCTGTGTGGCCTCGGGCAACTCACTCCACCTCTCTGTGCTTCCATTTCTTTACCCAGTGTTACAGGGGACTGTGCATTGGACCCTGATCCCCAGGACCACAGAATGTGATTATCTGGAGAGAAGGTCTTCAGAGAAGAGACTAGGACACAGAGGGGAGGCCAGGCGAGGCCAGAGTCTGGGAGTGACGCAGGGGCCTCCAGAGGAAACAGCTACCCTTCTGGGACTTCTGGCCTCCGGGACTGGGAGACAGGAAGTTCCTGGGTCAGCGGCTCTGCGGATGGGCACGATGGGTTAGACCAGTGCTCAAGGGCTCCATCCGTGGGGCAGAAGAGACTAAGATAGCCCCGGAAGTGACCGCCCCATCCTGCACTGAGAACGATAATCCTGGCGGGAGTGACCATCTGTGGGCCAACTTCCTTAGGACAGTGGCTCTCATCTAGGGTGATTCTGTCCCCAGGGGATGCTGGGCAGTGTCTGGGGACATATCTGGTTGTCACACGGGGGTGAAGGGGTGGGCGGGGAGCCCCTGCCGTCGAGGGGACGGGGCCAGGGACGCTGCTCCGCCCCAAGTCAGCGGTGCCCAGAGGGGAGACCAGGACAGAGGCCCCCTGAGCAAAAGCAAAGCGACACGGAGGATGCATGCAGGTGTCTAAAATTTGGCTCTATGAACTCCCAGCAGAACACAGTAACCACCTTCAACTCCACATGGCAAATGGGGCTCTGTGCCCCAAAAGGTCACCACGCTTGTGGATTTATTCCTGAAGCTATGTTAAAACGGTAAAAACCAACACTCCGTAGGAGACCGGTGCTGCTCTGAGCCTTCAGAGGACGGACCCGCTTCTGCCCTATAGAGCCCTAAGAGGAAGGTGCGTACCCATTCCTCGGACAAGAAACTGAGGCTGGGAGGCTAAGCAGCCTATCTCAGCAAGGGATGTCCAGGCCCAAAGGCAGAACCTGGATGTTAACCTGGTACTTTGACTCCACCGCCCCTAACCTGGGTTAGCAGCAGGGTAGTCATGGGTTGGTAACTTTCTCTGGAGGTGGGCCACGTGGTAGAGAGTTTAGTTGGGCAGGCTGGCCATCTCCGTGTCAACGACTTAACTCTGCCCCTTGTAGAGTAAAAGCCGCCCTGGATGTCGGAAATGCGTGGGTGTGTCCACATGCGACAAAAACTGTACTTAGCACAGCAGGTGCAGGGCCGGACCTGCGGCCCGAGAACAGCCCTGGGATCACGGAAGAGGCTGCCGCACACAGTGGGTGCTCGCGGACCCGCACATGAGGCTCCAGTCTAAGCCTCTGAGCAGACCGCCAGGCGGACAGCTCTCCGCAAAGCCCAAAACCACACCACCACCCCCATTCCCACCCTTCTCGGGGGGCAGCTGGCCCCCCTCGGAACACCTAGACCTCCCGTGTCCACAGGAATTCATTTCCTTGGGGTGGGAAAAGGTGTCCGCTGGGGCTGTCCCCCAGCTGACCACACCACGCATCTGGCAGAACCGGGGAGCACTGCCTCCTCCTGGGGCGACCCCGGGGCAGAGGTGACATCACAGGAGTCCAAAGAGCATGGCGCCTCAGAGCTGGGAGCAGCTCTGCTGGATGACCTTGGAGAGCGTCACCCCAGCTCACCCCTTCTATAAACGGAAGGAATGTTGGCCTCGCGGGGCAGCAATAACAGGACAGGAGAAATTCTCGCAAGGCCTGGCCCCAAGGAGCTGGCTCTGCAGGGAAGCTTCTCCAGCCTTCTGTGAACTGGGCAGTTTCTACCTTCCAAGCCCACCCAGCTTCTTCATGGCCTTTGCTGGGGAGACACTTGTCCCAGCTGCACCAAGTCCTGCATGAGCAGGTGGGGTCGGCCTCTGGGGGACGTGGTATAGGGCAGTCTCCGGCTGACAGGGGGCGCCCGCTATCCGGGGTGGGGGGGCCCTGGGGGCAGAGCCCAGGAGAACCAGAGCAGCCGCACCACTGAATTCTGGTGGGATACAGCCGGACACGAAGAGCGCAGCCGTGTGTCCCACGAGGCAAACATGGAGATTAAGCATCTACTGTGCCCCACGCTAGATGGGGAGCACCAGACAGAGCAACCAAGCAGCCTGGCCCTCCCTCACTCAGGAGGACAAACACACAGTTAAAAAGCCCTTAGGATGGCGGGAAGCCCTACAGGCCCATACAACTGGGACACCCACCCCGTTCAGAGCAGCTCGACTGACATACCCCACAGGGTGGGAGCAATCCTCTGACAGATGCGAGGATAAAAACAAGGTCCAGGGCGCCTGGGTGGCTCAGTGGGTTAAAGCCTCTGCCTTCGGCCCAGGTCGTGATCCCAGGGTCCTGGGATCGAGCCCCGCATCGGGCTCTCTGCTCAGCAGGGAGCCTGCTTCCCGCCCCCCCTCTCTGCCTGCCTCTCTACCTACTTGTGATCTCTGTCAAATAAAATAAATAAAATCTTAAAAAAAAAAAAGGGTCCATCCACACTCCGGAATATTGTTTAGTCTCAGAAAGGAAGGGACCCTGCCACATGTCACCACGTGGAGGGGCCCTAAGGACACCGGGCTCAGCAAGAAGAGCCAGACCCAGAAGGACCCGTCCCGCAGGACCCCACTCCCACGAGGTCCCCAGAGGAGTCCCGTCCACACAGACAGGGAGGAGAGGGTGGGAGCCAGGACTGGGGCAGAGGGTGGGGGGTCTGTGCTTCATGGGGACAGAGTCTCCGAGTGGGGAGATGGAAAGTTCTGGAGACGGAGGTTGGGGGTGGCTGCAGGATGGTGTGAGCGTGCTTCATGCCACAGAGCTGTGCAATTAGAGATGACTGAAGATAAATGTTCTGTTCTAAGAGAATTAATGTAACAGGTACACAAATGTCCAGCGATACTCGAACAGCCCCGAAGTAGGGACAACGTAAACACCCATCGGCAGATGAGCAGATACACACAACGTGTCCCCCACGCACAGGACTGTCACTCGGCTGCGGAGAGGCACTCCCCCTGGAGACGGACCCCGAGCCCACAATGCTCAGGGAGGGGTGTGAGTCCACGCGTGTGACACGCCCGGAACAGGCCCCTCCATGGACGGGAAGGAGATGGCGGTTGCCAGGAGCATTTGGCAGGAAGGAGATTAACCGCTAAGGGATATGGGGTTTCTTTTGGGGTGACGAAATGTTCTAAAATGGGTGGTGATGGTTACACAACATGAATATACTAGAACCATTGAGTTGTAGACTTCCAATGAGCTCATTGTATGATATGTGACTCACGGCTCAGGGAAGCTGTCCATGGCATGCTAGAGAGATGCTGGCCACGGGCCACGTGCCGCTACTTAAAAATGCCAACTGAGTTCCTCAGTGACACCAGCCACACTCTGAGTGCTCCGTAGCCACATATACCTGGTGGTTTCCATACTGGATGGTGCAGAGAAAGAACATGGACATCGGAGACAGTTCTCAACAGAGCTGAGCTAGAAGGACCTTCTTTAAGAGGGAAGGGAAGCCCGCTGAAGAGGTAGGATTTGAACAAAGACCTGAAAGTCTGGTTCATGAAGGAGGAAGTGCACATGCAAAGGGCCTGGGGTAGGACTGGGACAGAAGTCATTTACTGTATTTGCTTCCCCAGGCCGCCTCTGAATCAAAGTTCCACAAGGCAGGCACTGTTTCTAGACATGTGTCCTGTCCACCCAGGTATGAATGTTCCCGAACGGAGTGCAGAGGCTGGTGGGGCTGGATGGGGGACAGACACATGGGGGTTTTGAACAGATCTGGCTGGGGTTTCGATCACTCCTCTAGCGGCCCAGTGGGGAGTAGATTCAAGGTGGGGGTAGGGACAGACCGAAGAAGGGTCAGGGAGGAGCAGTCACATGCGTCTAATCTATGAGAGGAGGGGTCAGGACCACAGATCCCAGAGCCCAGGAAGCCTCCCATGCCCCACGGAGCCCCCATCCCCCATGGCTCCTGATGGCAGAGCTCAGTTACCTTCTCCGTGTGCTGCTGCAGGATGGGCAGGTTCTCCTCCAGCTTGTCCAGACCCCTGTGGGCGTATTCACTGGCCGATGCGACTACACGGGACAAGACAGGAATCGGCAATCACTGCATGTGCGCGCCCGTCAGGGCCTGGAAGGCCGGCGCGTGCTGCTTTGGGGAAACAGGGCCAGGGGTGGGGCAGACACCCCCCCCACCCCCTCCGAACAGCCAAGAGGTGGGTCCCAGGCTCCCCGGGGCTTCACTCACTCTGTGGCTCCAGCCTGGAGAGGATGGGCTGGGCCCCACTGACGGCGGCCGCGGTGAGGGTCTTCACGCCCCTCTCGGCCGCGTCGCACACAGTCTTGACGTGGGGGTGGCTCTCCTTGGTGGAGGTGTAGGCGGCGGACACCATGTTGCAGGTGGAGCTGATGAGGGGCATGGTGGTCACGCGGTCCACCACGCTGGGCTGCGGGGACAAGCAGCTCAGCGGGCTGGGCCTAGGGCTCCGGGCGGGGTGGGGGTGGGGCGCCAATGTCGATTTCACTCCCAGCCGGGCCGTGGCTCAGCTCAGGCTTGCCCTGCATCCAAGTGGTTGCACAAGCCACTGCTGTGAGGTTGCCCCATGGGCGCTTCCTCTACCCTAGCCTTGCCTCTCCTCTGTCTGAACGTGTACTTGACCCCCCCACCTACCGCGTGCCGCGTGGAGACAAGAGCCCGGCTCTCACCGAGCTTCGGGTCTGCCCCTGGGTCGGCAAGCTACAGTCCACGGGGCCCACCCCTGATCTTCTTATCCTTGTCCGGTTTTTCCTAACAGCTGAATCGAGTTCACAGATCATTAATGCCACCATTTGATAACGCACGGTTCCAAGGTTTTTAGTATTTTCATTAGGTTGTACAATGGCTGTGGCTAACTCTAGAACTTTGCCATCACTCCAAGAAAATGGTCACTCCTCGTTCTCCCCTCCCCCAGCCCCCTTCCCGTCTGTGGAAGAACCTGTTCTGGGCGTGACACACATGGACTCTCACCCCGTGTGGCCTTCTGTGTCTGGTTCCCTCCCTGAGCATCGTGGGCTCAGGGTCCATGCCCAGGCCAGCGCCTATCAGTGTTTAATTTTTTAAATTGTGGTAAAATACATATAAAACTTACTATCTTAACCATTTCAAGTGCAGAGCTCAGTGGCATGAAGCACTCACGCTGTCCTGCAGCAACTCCCACTTTCCATCTCCCCAAACGGAGACTCTGTCCCCATGAAGCATGAATTCTCCAACCCCTACACCAGCCTTGGCTCCCACTATCTCCCGTCTGTGTGGACGGGACTCCTCTGGGGACCCCCTGGGAGTGGGCTCCTGCAGGATGTGTCCTTCTAAGTCTGGCTGCTCTCACTGAGCTCGGAGTCCCTGGGGTCCCTCCACATTGTGGAAGAGGTCAGTGCTTTATTCCTTTATGGGGCTAATATTCCACTGCTGGCTGGTTCTGCAAACAAAGCTTTTTTTTTTTTTTTTTAAGATTTTTTTATTTATTTGACAGAGAGAAATCACAAGTAGGCAGAGAGAGAGGAGGAAGCAGGCTCCCCGCTGAGCAGAAAGCCCTATGTGGGGCTTGAACCCAGGACCCGGGATCATGACCTGAGCCGAAGGCAGCGGCCTAACCCACTGAGCCACCCAGGCGCCCCTGCAAACAAAGCTTTAATGCCACAGCCACTCCCATTCATTTACGCTTTAAGAGCGGAATAGAGTCAAGACAGCTGTTCTGAGGCTCAGTTTCACCACCCATCACATGGGGAATCATGCCTGTCCAGCAGGAGTCGCAGAAATCACTCATGGGAAGGCGCTGGCAGAAACCCGAACTCATAGGGGATGCGTGGACAGCTTGTGTGTGACCTCACTCAATCGGCAGCCCCTGGAGATAGGGAGTGTTCACCCATTTTAGGGAAGGGTTAACTGAGGCACAAAAAGAGTAAGTCACCTACAGTCGCAAACTTTAGATGGACTCAGGCCAGCTGTCTGCAGGGTTTACCCCCGAGGCCTCACAGGGGTTAGTCCCAAGTCTCCCCTCCAATCCAGCAACCCCACTTTCAGGCTTCTAACCCGGGACAGGAAACACATGTCCACACAAAAGGCGCACACGAATGTTCCCGCAGCCTCATTCTGAGTGGCCAAGAGGTGGAGACAGCCCAGATGCCCATCGCTGGATGAGGGGATTAGAGAACAGGTGGCACAAAGTATGTTTTTAAAAATCCATAGCCTCAGGGCACCTGCGTGGCTCAGTCGCTAAGCGTCTGGCTTCAACTCAGGTCATGATCCCGGGGTCCTGGGATCGAGCCCCACATCGGGCTCTCCACTCGGCAGGGAGCCTGCTTCTCTGCCTGCCTCTCTGCCTGCCAAATAAATAAACAAAATATTTAAAAAAAAAAAAAAGGAAAGAGAAAGAAAGAAAAACGTCACAGCCTCCAAATGGTCAACAGGTGGGTGAAAGTGATCAGTAAGGAAAGGCCAAAACCACAAGGAGACACGACCTGACGCCCGCTAGATGGCTACTATCAAAATGAAGCAAATTAACAAATGACGGTGAGGACGGGGAGAAACTGGAGCTCTAGTGCCTTGTGGGAGGGAACAAGAACCGGCACGGCCACTGTGGAAACCAGAAAGCATCACAAACAGAAATGACCCTACAAGCCTTCAAGTCCACTTCTGTGTATACAGACAAAAGGGCTGAAAAACAGGGCGCCTGGGGAGCTCAGGTCATGATCCCAGGGTCATGGGATCGAGCCCCGCATTGGGCTCTCTGCTCAGCGGGGAGCCTGCTTCCCACCCCCGTGCTGCTCTGCCTACTTGTGATCTGTCAAATACGTAAATCTTAAAAAAAAAAAAAAAAAAAAGGGGTTTTTTTTTATGTGTTATTTTACCACAATTTTAAGAAAGGAATGAAGCACTGACACCCGCTACAAGGCAGATAAACCCCCAAAACACGCTCATTGAGAGAAGCCAGGTACCAAGGGGTCTCAGCTGGCCGGATTCCATTCGAAATGTCCAGAACAGGTAAACCCATGGAACCAGACAGCCGATGAGCATTGGTGGGGAGGAGGAGGAATGAGGAGTACTGATGGGGCGGGGTCTCTTTGGAGGGAGGAATGTCCTAACAGTGTTTGGTGCTGATGGCTGCAGAACTTGGTAGTTGACTAAAAACCACGGGGCAGCACCCTTCCCAAAGTCATGTCACTTATCATATGCAAATGACATGTTCGTAGTGTTATTTATGAATTATATATAGTTGTTTGGAAGCTGTGAAGGGGGGAGGAAATGGGGGCTGATTTCCTAGAACGACCCTCCAAGCACCTGCAGACGGGACAGCAGTGGGGGTGGGAGGCGGTGGTTTCCGAGCGGACCCCAGATCTCCCCCGGACCCTTCGGGATTCCCGGTTCTGTCCCTGCCCCCATCTGTCCGGGGTCTGCATGACGGCTCGCCCTCAGCCACAGAAAGAGATCTGTTGCCCACCCCCCCACCACATGCTGCCAGCAGCTCCCCACCATTCTAGTGTGGGAAGCCTCACCCCACGGGTCCCTGCCCTCCTCACCTGCTGGACTGGTTCTTCTCCTGTCGCCTGGGTGCTGGCGGTGGCTTCTGTCCCGTTAGTAGACATGGTTCTGTGAAGCAGGCCCTGGAGTGGACAGGTGGGCTGTGAGGGGACCATCCCTCCCTCCAGGAGGAAGTGCAAGTTCACAGCTGACATCTGACCCCTCCCCTATTTCACAGAGCCTGCCCCCCCAAACATTCTTGAGCACCTGTGGGCCCCCATGTGGGGCCAGGTGGGGCAGGGAGTCTGGGGCCCTAACCAGCCCTCAGGTGCTGCTGATGAAGGGGATTTCAGAGCCACACCTCCAGGGTCAACTCCAAGGGCTTCACATGGTCAGTACTTCGGGGAGACACCTGTGGCCCAACACCTCCACAGACAGCCATTTGCCAGTGGCTACCTGCTCTCAAGAGCCATCGTCCCTGTGACCCGGAAACCTTGAGAGGAGGATCCCACACTTGTATTGTCATGTGGGCAGAGGCGTGGGCCCCTGTGTCGGCCACAACCAGAGCACGGAAAGCACCTGGTTCCCCAGGAGAAGGGGCCTAGAGAAAACAAGGATCCAGCCCAGTGCAGTGGCCACGGCGTAGAGACCTACAGGTCACTGGCTGGACCGGGATACTCTGAGACGAATACCGTGCACAGGGTGGAAACGTGTGCTTTGTTTGCCCAGGATCTTTAGACATAGGAAACTGTTAACAGTGGCCACCTTTCAGGGCAGAAAGGACAGATCAGGTGGACAGGACAAAGCCTCTGACTTTTGAGCCAGGCAGATAAAATTACCGGGTTTAAAAAAAAGGTTAAGCATTAAAAACAAAACACCCCACAAACTGCTTAAGAAAACCCTACGGCAGACCTATCAAATGAGACTCAGGCGGGAGGGCAGGACAAGGGAGGCTCCCAGGAGAGGCGCATGCTCTCGTTTGCAAGGTACAAAAGGAAACACCACAGGTGTGTCCCACTTTCCTGGCCAGGTGGGAGGACACAGGTAAACCTTCATCAGACTACAGACCGCAAGAGTCCCAGCTCTGCCTGTGGTGTACCCTGTTGAGCAAGGAGCCTCCCCTTCCCTGGCCTCAGTCCTCTCACCTACACAAAGGAGCTAAAGGTAGAACCTGCCTTCAGGGCTGGTTCCTCTGGTAATTCAGGGATGAGGCTATTGTGAACCCCTGACCTTGACTCTGAACATTTCCTTCTAGAGGAAGGGGGCCCATCCTCCTGGCTGCCATGTTGCCCTATCTCACAAAGCCCAGCAAACTGAGGGGTTTTTTTTTATAATTTTTTTTTTAAGGTTTTATTTGTTTGACAGAGAGTGAGAGAAAGCCCAAGCTGGGGGAGTAGCAGGGGGAGGGAGAAGCAGGCTCCCCACTGAGCAAGGAGCCCGATATGGGGCTCGATCCCAGGACCCTGAGATCATGACCTGAGCCAAAGGCAGAGGCTTTAACCCACTGAGCCACCCAGGTGCCCCCAAACTGAGGTTTTGAGAGCACCAGTGCTGAAGTCCAAACCGGTTCTAATCCCAGCTTTGCAACTCACTAGCCAGTCGGAGCTCGGGAAAGCAGCACCCACTCTCAGAGCCTTGCTGGCCCCATCTGTAAAAATGGGGATATGTATTCCTAGCTCAGAGTCCCTACAGACTGGCAGAGCGACACGTTGCGCTTAGCTCAGTACCTAGCACATAATAGGTGTTCAATAAACAGAACCATTTCACACACAGGTGAAGCCACCCAGGAATGAGCTTCTGCTTGGTACTGAGTTGCCGAAGCAGGGAAGTGGGGCAAGTCGGCAGAGCGGCCACTGGTTATCTTCAGGAGTCCGGTTATTCCCCTCACCCCTCCCTGGGCATCTTGGAGGCCCATTCTCCCATCCCCTTGGCCCATCAATCCCTCCTAGACCGGGTTTAGCCAAGGGCGGCCACTACAGATGTCAGCATCCCATTAAAGTCCTTGGGGTCTGCGAGCTGCCTGAACTTGGCTCCAGCTGCCACAGCGAGAGCTAGCTGGAACCGGCTGTACTCACGCAGACGCCCAGCGGCAGCCAGGATTCAACTTCCAAAGTTCCCAGAAACCGAGGTCCCAGGTCCGGCAGTTCCAGCAATGCCGACAAAGGTCCCAAGGACTCAGATAAGGGGCAGCAGGCCTTCCCAGCCGCCTGGAGCAATCTCCCTGGCCACACCCACCTAAAGGAAGAGGGCGGAGTCTGCCCGCGACCTCCCCAGAGTCAGCTGAGCCCACCACAAACTCGGCGGGGGGGGGGGGGGGGGCTAAGCCCCCCGGGCGGCAAATCCATTTGCCGAGGAGGGGGTCCTTGCTAGGCAAAGAGCCCCCTGATTGGGGGGGAGGGGCGCCCGGAGGATCCAGGAGGGCCGATTTCCTGTGCAAGATAGGCTGCGGCTCGCCCCCAAACTGCGTTAGCAAAGCAAGCTGACTTTTCAGGGAGGCTGTGTTTTAGGAGGAGGGTTTACCCCCCTTTTCATACTGCCACTTTTGGGGGGGCTCTTTCACGCGCCCCCCCCCCCGCCTCCAACGAATGTCTCAGGAACTGAAAGGAGAAAGTTTGGAAGTTTGACTCTGCTCCAGAAATAAGTCTTTTTTGTTTTGTTTTGTTTTCTTTTCTTTTGGAGGGGGCGTTAGGGGAAGAGACGGGAAAGCTCAACCCAGGCTGGAGACCCCTCCCCAGACCGCAGAGCCCCCAGGAAGGGTCTCCCCTCCGTCTTCCTCCTCTGGGACGCCCCGGGGCCCAGCGGACCTCGCCCCCCACCGCAATCAGGCCCCCTCCTCTTACCGCGGTCAGCGAGACGAACACGGTTCGATGGGCAGTTCTGAAACCGTCTGGGTCCTGCCCGGGGGAGGCTTTTATACTCAGGGGGGTGGGCGCTCGGGAAGGACGGGCCGGAGGACCAATCGTATCGGGAGGCTGCCCGCCTCCGGGCCACGCCCCCGCTCGGTCTGGGACGTTGGAGACAGAAGTGAAGTCCGGGAAGGGCCAGACTTTTGCGGGTGGCGTTTGCGGGCCGTGCGGTACCCCGCGCCGGGGGACCCCTATAAGACACCTGATCCAGCCAAGGGCGCCCCCTCCCGACCTAGGGGTCCTATGAACTCGGCCCAGGGAGGTGCTATCCTAGTTCTGGGGTCCCCCAGCCCCCCTTTTCTCCAGAGGCGGTGAGAGATGGTTGCCCCGCTGCGCGTGAGGAGCCACCACCCAACCCTGGGCGGGAAGGTGATGGAGCAGAGCTCGACCCAGCAGTACGAGCAGCCTTCGCCGCAGCAGTTAACAGATACAGAGTGCCTTAATCCCGCCCTGACCTGCGTGGCACCGTTTAATCCTCCCAAAACTGTTCCTTTGTCATCCCCATTTTACATATGGGGAAACTGAGGCCCAGAGCCGGTCAGCCTAGGGCAGTGCTGGGATCAACTCCCGGATCTCTGACTCCTGGATCAACCCCTTCCTGAAGCAGTAACCGCTTGGATTCCACCCCTCCCCCCATCCTTAATCCTCTGGGTCTATAAAACGAAGTCTCAAACTCAGACGCCCCGGCGGCCAAAAGGAAGTAAATGCCTCCTCCAAAGTGTTGGCCGCATGGCAGAGTGTTGCCCTGTGGAAGACCCACCCAGAGATTCCCACATCTGCCAGGATTCTAGACTAAAGAAAGTGCCCTGCTTTTTAGAAAACCACTGGACCAAATAAAACCCAATCGGGGCCATATTCAGCTCAGGAGCCACCAGTGTGCCACTTCTGCTAAATTAGGTGGGGTGGGGTGGGACGGGGCCTCTGAAACTTCCAGAAAGAACACGGAAGAAAAGCTGGTGTCTGTGACTGAGCGCATTTTTTGGACAGTGGTTACAGTCGCACCATACAGTCGAGCTTTCTGCCATGATGCGGAGGCTCCAGAACCCCCCCACCCGCATTGCTCAGTAGGGTGCCCACGGTGGCTTTTGCTCATCAAGAAACTGAATATTCACCTCCTGAATATTCACATCCAAGCAGCCACACGCAGCCACTCAGATTCTCAGGTGAGTCTGAGGCACCAAAAGGACCGAAGCAATCAGCTACAACAGTTCAAAGTTTCCTATTTGCTGCTGGCCTTTTTTCCTACTCATGCATTCATTTTCCTCCTCATTCATTCAGCAATTTTTATTGCTGTGCTAGGTGCTGGGAACACAGCCGCGGGTCAAAGAGATACCAGCCTTGTGGCGCTCACTGCCGACGGCAGAGTCAGACCATAAAGGAGAGAAATGAATGAAACGCATCATGGGTCAGCTCACTGAGAAAAGCAAAAGACTGGCATGCAGAATGTGGGGTGTGATTTTTGGGAGGGGGGGGTGTGACTTTTAATGGGGCGGTCAAGGGAGGCTTCCCAGATTGGCATCTGAATGCAAAAGTGAGGGAGGAGAGGAGGGCGTCACTTAGAGATCTGGGGAAACAGCACGTTCAAAGGCCCAGAGGCAGGCTATACTTGGGAAGTTGGAGATGCAGCCAGGAAGTTAATGTGGCTGGAGTGGAGTGAGTTCTTGGATGTATAGAGCTCAGAGAGGTTAAATGAGTTGTCCAAGGTCAAACAGCTCCAAAGTCACTGGGAGAAATGTCTGGTAGTCTTGAGCTTCTGAATGGCCTTCAGTGCTGCAACGTGGCCAAAATATTCCTGGTTAGGGAGATGTAACGCAATTCCGATCAGCAAAATAAAGTCCTGGTGATTTTGCCCAACATCTTTTCAACAAAAGGAGAACAGCCATGCTCACCATCTTTCCTAATGTGGCACTCAACCCCCAGCTCCAGTTCCCTGTGAGGGCAATCAAGGACATTTGCCACTGCGCATGTGCACATGGTGGGAGAAGGGAAGGAAAGGGCACCGCCCCACGGGACCTTAGCACTTCCTTTTCCGCACCACTGCCACCTCCTCCTGGAAGTCTTCCAACTTACCTCCTCAGTCTCCCCCAAGGCTAACTCTGCCAGACTAAACAGAGGTTCCCATTTCAATTTGACTTTCGGGTCAATAAGGAATACATTTGGTGGGTATAAGTATATCCCATGAGATATCTGGGATATACTTACATTCAAAAATTATTCCTTGTTGACCTGAAATGCAAATTGAGCTGAGGATCCTTTTTATTTTTGTTTTTGCTAACTGTGACAACTCTACCTTCAAACTCCAATCCCTTTTTCTGCCTTTGCTGTGTCCCCCGGAAAACTGTCACCTCCCAGCCTTGCTGGGCTCCTTGAGGCCAACGCCTGTCCACGATTCCCAGCGTGGGAGGTAAGAAACATATTGTTTTCTGATTTATTTCATTACATTATTCAGAGGCCTCATTTTTATTTTCCCCATTTTTTGGATGAGGAAGCTGAGGTTTACGGATGTGATTAACGTTCCCCAGGTAACAGCCAGAAAGGGACCGCCTGAGTTTGTTGGAGATCTCAGTGTACCCTCCAACTCCTCACCCTGCCTCTCCTCCGTCTCTCCTCCTTCCCCTCCATCCCTCCTGCTCCCCACCTCCCCTTTCTCTTCCTCCTCTTCCTCGCCTTCTTCCTCCTCCTCCATTCCACACTTTCCAGCGGAAGGGCTCTGAAAACTCTCCCGTTCTTTCCCACTGAGCCTAAGGGAAGGAGAGACAGACCAGCATTATGCCACAAGGTGGCGCTGCTGGTCCCAGATTGGTCTCCTGACCCAGGTGTCCACCCCCCCACCCCCCATCTACCCTCTGACCCTTCCCTCCTTGCAACCATCCATCCATTTATCAAGTATCTCCTAATATTGTGAGCCAGGCCAGGCCTGGCTGTGAGGACTTGACTGGATATGCAGTCATTCAACAAACAATGATTAAGTGCCTGCTGTCTACCGGGTCCATGCTGGGCAGCCCTGAGGATTCAGCCCCCACTTCCACCTTCAAGGCACTCATAATCCAATGGGGAGACATGTATGGGCCCAGCAGGACTGTGTTAAAACTTTTATATCCCTGGGGTGCCTGGGTGGCTCAGTCAGTTAAGCTGTTGCCTTCAGCTTGGGTCATGAACCTGGAGTCCTGGGATGGAGCCGCACATGGGGCTCCCTGCTCAGTGGGGAGTCTGCTTTTCTCTCTTCCTCCGCCACTCCCCCCCCAACTGGCGTTCTCTCACTCACCTGCTCTAAAATAAATCAGTAAAATCTTAAAAAAAAAAATTCACAGCCCTAAGGCCCTTTTGCCTGAGGCCAAATCCTGTCCATGATTCCCTCCCTCCGTGGGTCACTCCCCCCATGAAAAAATTCTGCAAATGATCTTTTATGACTGCACTGGTATTCTAGTCCTTATTTTCTTCTGATTTTAAGCTAAATTAAAAACAAACCCCTTCCATGGGCCCTTAAAAGTGTCATGGACCCCGGGTCTCCTGTGTCTGATGAATGAGTTGGCTCTGGAGGTCAAGTGCATGAAACAGAAGGGATCAGGACTGTGATCAGGGCTGCAGGTGCACGGGGGGTCCAGAGGAGAACTGGGCCCGGGTTGTGGGTGGTGATGGGAAGCTTCTAGGAGGAAGCTGTGCTGAGCATCAGTCCAGTGAAGGTACTACGGAGGTATTCTGGGGCAGGGGGAACAGAGAGTGCACGTGCACAGTGAGGCTGGAGGGTAGAATGTGGCGAGAGCGGGGTGTCAGGGGAGAGACAAGAGCGGACAGTTTGGCAAGGGTCAGGCTGACAAGAGCCCTGAAGACATTAGGAAGCCACAGGAGGTTCTGAAGCAGGGTTAGCAAGGGCAGGTTGGAGCACTGGAAAGATGTTTTGGGCTGCCCTATGGATAAAGGAAATCAGGAAGAAGAAAATGAGCCCACCTGCCTCAGGTAAGTCTTAAAGAAAAGGTGGAAGTCATAGAAAGATGGATGGGGGGGGAATGGGGGAACATTCCAGGCATCATGATGAATCATTCATTCAGGAAGTATTTATTAAACACCTCTGGTGTGGTCCACTGAATACAGCAGTGAAACAGAGAAAAAGGCTCTCTGGAGGAGATGTGCTCCAAGCAACAGGATAGCCTGTGCAAAGGCCCCGGGGCAGCACTGTGACTGATGTCTTGGAAGAACAGCGAAGGCCCTAGTGGCCAGAGCAGAGT